TTGATAGGTCGTGTCTCAGATTTATCAGCTTGTAGATTGGACGTCATTAACTGTGCAGTGTCCCACGCCATAATATAGCCTCTTGTAACTGATAGTCATTGCTGGCTGCTCTGCATTCAGCACTTTTCCCTCTCGGTCACACATAAACCAAGAGGCACTCCACTCAGCAGCACCATGTGGTTTCAGAGGTAGATTCACTTCTACTTACTGTCTCTGGACTTTCTTATCACATCTGCCACTTGATAAAAAAAAAAAGAGTCACTGAGCAAGGATGTGATGTTGGTGATGTGCATGTATGTGTGCGTGTGTGTGTGTGTGTGTATGGGAGTTGAGGTGGTTATCACTAATGTCACACTGTATCAACCGCATTTCACAAGTACATCCAGTCAGAGTCAGCTTGAGAGAAGAAAAATAGCTCCAGACTGTTTTTTTTCCTCCCTCCACCAATACTAACCCAGTTTAACCATCCTGCAGATATTCCATCACCTTCACCCCATCAATACCGGTACTAACACAGCCGCCCATACCACCACCACTTCCACATGTAATGGATGGAAGGTCTATAGGTTTTGTAATACAGAGCTACTTTAGGAGAAAGTGAGCGGCTGGTTGGCTGCAGGGCACCGCTGTGAGGACACCATGATAGATTGAGGCTATGGTGTTGTACAGTCACTGTTCCATGATGAATGTGTGAATTGGGACTGGCTGCATAATCACTGTAAGCACAGGGAACATTTCAGAAAATACCTCTGCTAATTTCAGAACTATCATATTTTGTATGGGTCATGTGGGGATATAAAAATATATATTTTTAAACATTTCTTAGTGGAATCTGTGCCATGCTCTTTTCATGTTCAGATGATGGGTTTAACTCTGATATGTGAGATGCACATAGCTGAGGATGTTGTTTTCTAGTCTATTCCCACTTTAACACATTGTTAACCATGGCAACAATGTGGTGGTGTCAACGTATTTGATCTAGTTCACAAGTAGCCAGACATCTGAGAAACCGAATAGATTTTTATGCGAGTTGGGCTTTCATCCACATGTAAACTCTGCTCAATGTCACTAAAAACGATTCATAATGAAAACTATGGACAGAGATTTGCAAATTCTTTGTTTTGCGTTTGCGTGTGGACATTGGAGGCCCGAGATTTTGAGATAAACACTTAACAGTCTGCAACAAATAATGTGGCGCTGACGTGTGACCATTGTTACCTTTTGATCATGCAGGAGGAAAGATGGCCGCTATCAGAGAGGTGCTGATTTATCCGTTGGTTCAGACGCTTTTTACTCGTTTGCTTTTACAAGCCCAGCTGCTCTGATATGTTGAGCTTGGAGCTCAGCTGTTTTCCACCAACTATCCCTGGTCCACACATATCCCAGCTATGTGTGGACAAGGCCTTATTCTTCAGCGCTGCCGTCTAGGATTCAAGTCCCAACCTTTGGACATTTGTTGCATGTTTTCCGTCCCTGCCCATTCCCTGTCTGACTACTGCAAGTGAAGGCTACAAATTACAGAAAAACCTTTAATTAAATGTAAACAATTCCCCCCTGACCCGTCCGTCTGCTGTGTTCTTCAGCTGCATCATGCTAAAGCAGGGTAAATGCAAAAGTTTGCCACACTTTTCAGATTTATCTTCATAAAAAAAAATTGAAACCATGTATCCTCTTTCCACTTTATTGTTACAGTGGCCGCCGTATGGTGCTGGCTTGGAATCCCAGTGAAATGCATTTCAAGTTGTACTTGTGAATGGTCAAAATGTGAAAAAGTTCATGACCTATGCTTTTGCAAGAAACTGTATGTTTGCGTGTGCATGAGTCTGTGTGCGTGTGTGTGTGTACTTTTATACATTAACGCAAGGCATGTTAATTCACTTTGTCTAACATTTTCTAAAACTGACATATATTTTTATTTCTGTATCCTTCAGGTTTAATAATCTTAATAATCTTTAATAATTCTGTTTCCCAGTTCATCTTTTCTACAACAACTGTTGGTATGCAAATTACTGGACGGGACAAAATGTTCAATTTATTACAGTTTTAATAATTTTACATAATTCACAGTAAATGTCATCTGAATACGATCAGGTGCAGATCATGGGATGATCCATGTCACCACATCAGTTCATCCAAGTCCTTAAATTGTGTTAGACAAAAATAAGGAAAACAACAACAAACATATTCAGATCAGATTCTGATTCAAAAACATTAACAGTATGTTTCAGCTCAATTATGGAACAATAGTCACATTCAGTAGAGTACAACATGCTAAATGAAAGATTGGTGAAATGGAAGTAAAGGAAGTATCAAAGTTTTATTTTGTGTATGGAGTGCATCAACATTTTAATCCACTAACAACAGATAAAGTTTAGAAAATACCTTGCTGATCAGAAGTCTACAAACATTCAGCATAGCCTTGAATGCCACATTGACTTTGGACATTTATTGAAGAATTTGAAGTTTTCTTTTTCAGGGTGAAAGGTGATGCAACAGTTTTTTATTTTTATTTCTTAACCCTCAGCAAATCTCTGTTATAGTTTAGTTGGATATCTGACTGTGATTCTGGGCAGAATTCCTTGAATTTATTTAGAGCGATTGGCTTTCTGTCACAGAAATTTAATCCACAGTTTGTCAGAAGAGCAGAAATCAATTGTTTTCCAGAAAGTTTCTGTTAACTTACTTTTTCTGTCCAAAATCAGTTTTGATGTTTGGTTGGGGTCACTGTCCTGCTGGACACCTACCTGTATCCAAGTTTCAACCGTCCCAGAAGAAGTTAAAGAATTTGAAGTTGGGCCTGTTACTTCTTTCACTCTGTGCTTGATGCTACCGCGGCTCTGTTTGGTTTGAAGTTTGCTAACTTGCTATGGGCACCACTAGCAAAAATGTTAGTTCCACTAATCCTAAAGCAATAATCCTAAACATTAGTTCATGTTAATGTACCACACCAACATGGTATTTAGTGGAAGCTATTGCTAAAGCTCTAGTTTCAGTTCAAATCAGTCCTGGAAAGACTACAACCCTCAAATACCAATTTAACTGTGATATTATGATTTACATCTTCTATAATGCCCTAAATATTGCATTTATGATTTTATCTTGTTCCCCAATATCTGTGTTTTACTTTATTTGAAAAATTAGCTCTGCTATTAGCATATTAGTAGTCGTGTGCTCACCATTGAGTTTTATTGTTATTATTTTTGTATAGTCTGTTTTGTTTAGGTTGTTTCAGGATACTAAATTATTTGTGTTTTGACAGGTTTAATGTGTTTAAGTATTTATCCGTCAAACATTGCCTCTCTTTGTTGATTTCATAACAAAAAGATTTAGCTGGAGTTGGAGTTTGTTTGTGATGAATGATTAAACTTTGCAGTTTGAAGCCATGCGGAAAAATACTAAAGTGCCTCAGAACTCTGAAATCCTGAGAGCCATCCGACAGCAGATGGCTCCGTTTTCTTTGACTCCCTCAACTATGTTCATAAGTAAATGCAGTAATTTTCGAGCCTCACATCATTCCTCTCCACTCAGAGGGGGAGAGGTCCCCCCCTGCACAATCAGGCTGAGGACGTTTTATGTTTACAGCTTGCAGAATCAGCAGAGCATTTCAGATAATTAAAATTCAGCGTGCTTTGATGAGGTGGTCCACCCTTGATTTCCCACAATACCTTGCTTTCAAGGGCACATTTTCCACTCCTGCATGTTATTTTGAAAATGTCAACTTTTGTTGAGGCCTTTTGACCTTCATTGAAGCACTTGTGGTCATTGCATAAAGGGCAGGAAGCCACTTTTGTCCCAGATATCTCGGAGCGTCGTGCTGAATTAATCAGCCCTGAAATTGCAAGGCTGTATTTTATATGCTGCTTCTGAGAAAAAGTACAAATAAATTTTCTACTTTTGGTAGGAAAGTAGAAAATGGTATGGTATCTTGCATATTGTGTTTGTGCCACAAGCAGCTTCATATTTCTGAACGTTGAAATTGTTGGTCCTGAGCCATTCTTGGGTATTGGAACAGTTCCTAATCAAAGTTCTGATCAGATCATTGATTCTGATTGTTTCTGTTTAGGAAAACTGCAGCACCGTTCTCATTAGCACATTAAAACAGACATATTCCTGCAGCACCTCATCATGTCAGGCAATGACAAAAAAAAGGTTATGAACTTTTTTCATTCATGTATAAATTTGTGCTGTCACTGTTCATATCTTTGTGTTTTATACAGTATGTGAGCCCTGCGCTGTCACCGTATTCCCTTATATTTGAACATGCAGCCTTGTTTTCCTACAGTAATGCACAAATGAAAGAGGAATTTTCCAATCCGGTTACATGGAAATGTTTTTATCCATATTAGTTTTGTGTTTGCGTGTTCAGGGGAAAACAGATTTAGGGTCACATGCATTCCAGTCTTTGACAAATAACTCCAATATATCACCATAATTACACTGACATGATTCATCTTGTGTTTTATTAACTTTATATTCTAACACAATATTTAATGTAGTTCAAGTTATATATCTGAACCTACTAGCGCCATGTTAACTCCTAACAGGACGTCATGGTTGTTTTGAAGCAATTTGATTGGCTGACAGTTTTTAGTTTTGTGCTACACTGCCCCCTATGGGTTTGGCATATTAAAAAAAAACAACATTCTACGTGATTTTGTGCAAGTTTATGTGGATGAAAACTTTTCTGAAATAGATCTAATTTTTTTTTTTAAACAATGTGGCGGAGATATTGGCTGCAGCTATGTGTGGATAAGAAATTTATCAAAAACACTTGGCCAGTGTTTTTGATGTTCCTGCTGCTCTCCTGTGATTTTTCTCTTTTTTATATTTTAAAATATAACTGACCAGTTTCTCTGTCCTGAAAGCCATCACCATGTTTCACTGTGGGAATGGTTTGCCAATAATTTGCAGTGTTTTATTGTATGACAGATCTATCTGGAAAAAGTGATTTTAATTAATAGCATTAATATAATACTAATATTCTCTTTTTTTAACCACAGGGTCTCCATCCTGGACAATGGCAGCCTTCGGATATGGAATGTGACCAAACTGGACGCCGGTCTCTACACCTGCATTGCAAGAAACCAGTTTGGAGTGGCGAGCAGCACAGGAAGTGTTACAGTAAAAGGTATTTCCGTGTCCCTCCGTTTGATCACCGTCTCTCGTTTTCAGCCTGTTCAGCAGAGACCCTGACCCTGCCAAGGAGAACACACATGTTTGAAATGAATGTTTTCCCTGCTTTTGGCAGCGGGTGGACCTGTGCCATGTTCCATTTCAGCTGTTTGAAAAACTAAACCGAAGTATTTGAAAGCATAAATAAAAAATGACCAGAGCAGAAAGAAGCATCCAGTCACTGCCCTCTGATAAAGCAGGCAGGGAGAATGCCTTTTTTTGTTTGTTTTTTCTCTGTCCTCCCCGCCCCCGCACTTTTGTGTCATCGTTACCGGGTGAGACACAGACACATCGGCTGCTGTTTGTGTTTGTGGAGATGCCGAAGCGGTTCAGCTCTCTGCCTCGGCGCCTCCGGCTCTGTCAGAGGATATGTGGTGTGAAGAAGTCCTTGCGCTGTTTGATCATCTGGGTGGTGGATTGCATTTCTGCTCCGGTGTTATGACTTATTACACTTCATTAAAAATGAATGTGAGCCGGGTATAGAGTGCGGCGCGTTGGGCGGTTTCATTCGGTGCACGTGGCTGTTTTTCATGTCCTATTTCCACAGGGGGAAGGTGTTCTCACCTCCTCGGCTTCCTGGGGGATTCGCTGACTTATTCTCTGAACTGTACCCTCACTGTGACCCTCTTTGCACGGTTCACTTGTGTTATTGTTATTTCTTGTGTTGACCTTCCCTGTTGGCAGGCTTGTGTAGATTTATGGAATTATTGATCTTCAGTATATTGGCCTCAAGGAGGGGAGAGCATGCTTTCACATTCAGAAAGGTTTTTGTATAGATTTTTACGAGGAAACTGTTTAGTGATAATGCCATTCAATAATTTACAATGTCATGGAAACGTTTAAGAATTGTATTAATTTGATTTACAAGTGAAGGTTTTATGTATTGTATTTATTCCCCAAAGTCACAGAAGGATTTATTTAAACCATTTATTTTTAATCATTTTGACAAATTAGGTTAAAGATGAAAAAACTCAAGACTTGACTTACATAAGAACAAGAAAGTAAATATAGAAACCATATTAATGGATTAGCAGAAGTAAGAAAGTAAATCTTAGTTTTTCATTAGCTCAATAAAGAGTTTAAATACACAATTATGTTTTTTAATAAATTCATGTTAGACAAGTTTCTGTTTGCAGATATAATTGCTAAAATAAATGAACCTTTAACTGATATTCTGATTTATTTCTTTTTAACAATAAATTCCTGCATGTTTCAGAGCGATCAAACAGTGACCTTTTCATCTCGAGTTTTGTGACCAGGTTGCATGTTGTAGATATGAACCTGTAAACACTCTGCAAAATCCCCTCTTTTTTATCCTCCACCTGAGAGAGAACATGGCTGAGCATAACTGCACCTGAACATCCAGCTCTTATTGATCCTCCATCTTTAGGGAAAGGACGTACAAAAGTCAAAGAAAAAAAAATCTATTAAAATTATACCAAAAAAATAAAAAAAAATCCTGGCCTATAAGCTTAAAATTGATGTAAGCTTTCCATCATACTCTGAAATAAAATGATTTTTTTCTATATAAAGTCGGGGCTCTCTTCATGTGGGGTTTATGATTTTTGTTCCAAGGTTCAGCACATTTAATAGTCTTTCTTCTTCGGTCTATAAAATCCTGTGAAATGCAGTGTCAATACCACAGCAGCCTGCTATAACAGAACTTTTTTTCTCCAATTATCCACGTCATTTCTATAAAAAAGTGTTTTTGATGGACTTCTCCCAAAAAGCAAGCATTTCATTTGATACTTTAAAAATCATTTTATCCATGTCCATCTGAGTAACTCCAAGAAGAATATTCCTCTTTGAATCTCTACATTAGTTTTCTTTTTACGGAAGAACACATCACATAATGGGATTTTAAATAAGTCCCAACTGGTGCATTCTTCTGCAAATCACTGTCAAGACATGTTTCCATTTTCTGTGGAATTATAAAAGGTAAGATCCATCAATTATGAATGATTAAAAGACAGCAGCAGTTGAGGATGTTAGGAGCGCTCAGAGTGCAATGTGCTGCTCATTTATGTGGATACCCAACAACAGAAATGTTCACAAGCCTTTACTCCATTGAGTTAACGGTTTAGAAATTGATCTGTATGAGAGCAACTTTGGTTTCTGGAGTTTGTGTGACAAACAACAAATGGACTGAACTTAAACCAGGTCTCATACTCTTCCCACTCATAGCATAGAAAATATGAATTTGATGGGTTTTTTTTAATAAATTTGAAAAGTGTGGTCTTCTTTCCAAAACAACTCAGTCAGAATACATGCAATGTCTGTGAACATCAATCTTCAAGCATAACCTCTCAGATTCTGAAAGTAGGTATAGCTCTTTGCAATTCTGTGATTATATAAATACCCCAACAAATTCTCACACTGATGCATAATTGTATGCTTATTCCAAATGTTCTGCAATAAATGTAAAAAATATTTTTGACAATTTAAGTGACTGCCAACAATCATCTGCAGGTGGCAGTGTGTCTGACTTCCACTGCACTGGAAGTAAGGTCACATCAGCATGTTGGCTGTGCACCACAATCACTCCACTGCTTCCAAATTAGCATTTCTGTCTCTTTATTTAGCAATGCTTCAGACAAAAAAAAATGAAATTGACCAAAATTGGAGACGGCAGATCCGACTTTTTAAAGATCAGGATCAGCCAGAAAACTGCAATTGGTGCCCAACTCATTACCATGGGATCTTTAGTTGCCCAACTTTGAGATTCATGTTGTCTTTCCTTAGTTAGTTAAGCGCCTTTAACATACAAGTTTTTATGGCCATCAGAGTAACAAGGGGGTAAAAACAAATGGTGGCGTTTTTCTTTAGTAAAAACTTTCAGATGCTTACATTTTTGATGAGACTCTGTAGACTTCAGCTTTTTTCTTTTGTCCTTCCTTAGACGTGAGTGAAAGTGATTGATTCTGCCTCACCACTTCTAAAGGTGGATGGCTGTTGTCCTTTTGACGTAGACAGTCATCCCAGTTATTCTCTTGTTCCTCCTGCATAATGCGTCTTTTGTTCGACGGCCTCGCCCGTTTCCTTCCCGCTGCCGCACATTAAAGCTGCTTTCTGCTGCCGATCTACAAATGTTTCCTTTATGTGATCTGTCACAGCTCATATTGTTTGCTAGACAGGACGGGGTAATTTATACGCGCCACTTCATTGAGGAACACAAACCTGTTTAGCGTGGGGGAAGGGTTTGTGTAGTGGGATCAGCCCTTATGGGAGATGACAGTAGTTTATTCAAATTGACTTTGGTGATATGAACGCTGGAGGGGAGGGAAAAAAGAAATACTTGTCAAATAGCATTCTGTGTCTTCTTGTTGTGAATCAGCCACCTAGCAAAGCACCGGCGGGGCAGATGAGCCCCGTTAATGTTGCCATTATCGCAACACTGGGGAGATATTAGCAGATTAATTGCTCTTGATTATGGATATGCTCCCTGAATTCTGATTACGGCAGAGCGGAAGCTGCTGCAATTAGGACGGCTGCCGATCATCGCGTATGGTCAATGGAGTTCAGAAGTTGAGATTGCATCGCGTTCGCTTTCTGTTCGCTCCTCTGGACCATGAAGGCAATTAATCTCTGCAAGCACCATGACACATTGTGTTTGCAACTTACTTTAGAGAATATTCCATGCTCTATCAGATCTTTGTTGCATTGTGTTCCAGCTGTATACAAGGATCTGATCGTTTTCTAACCAGTAATATGGCTCCACAAAACTCTTTTTTTTTTCTTTTTTTTTAGCCGGCTGCCTCCTGCAGCACCACCAGGTTTGTATGCGGGGTTTTGAATCTGAACCGCAGAGAAATGATTCACATGAACGATCCCCTTTCAGGAGTATTTGCAATTGCTGCTTTACCTTTTCATCCAGTGCTATGATCAGGTCAGATTTTTAATTTCTCATCAGTTTATGGACAATTACCTTCAAATAGTGCTGCTCTCACCACCAGGCAAACTGGGGAAAAGCTCCTGTGGGTCAGTTTCTGGTCATCAGGTTTTTGACCAGGCAGGCATCCGTTTTGGTCTTTCTCTCTGTCAGGATGTGTTTAGGAGTGGCCGCATGAGTTTGCTCTGGCAGTTCACAGCATGCTGAAAACATAAACCCAGACAGACTGTCTTTGAGCTGCTGAAGCTTTCGATGAAATGGCCACTCTGATTGTTTGCCTAACCAATAGGAACCACTTCTGGTGTTTCTTTTACTCTAATGAGGTTTGTTGAGCATCATTGAGTTCAGAGCCTGCATCACTTAGACAGATGGGCAAAACTGTAGAGAAAATTGGATCAAATATAAAGGCAATGAATTTGCTGTAGCAAACAGCTGTAGATACTACAGCTACAAGTATATTCATAAAGGGCATGAAGTTTTTCATCAACTTTGAGCTTTTAGACTTCATATAAAACATTTTTGAACACACATTTCAACCATTTTTAAAGGCAGAAATAATTTTCCATACCAATTGCCTCAAAAGCATCAATAACTGCAACATATAAAAACAAATGAAGTTACATTGTACGATTTACATATTGTAAACCAAAAATAACTTGATCGATTTTGTTTAGTTGTACATAAACTAAATAGCAAAGACATCTTGATATTATAAGTTATATGCAAATAAGCTATTTGATCAAGACTTTTTCATGGTAAATATTAATAAACTGATCTGAAGAGTTATTCTCAGTAAACTTCCTTGTTTTTGCCTCCATCACTAACAACAGCATTATGTTTGTTAACCAGAGGAAGAGCTACTAAACGTGCTACATTGCAGCGTTCAGTCGATTACAATCATTTTTATAACCATTGAATTTAGTTCACAAATTTGAATCTTGACATTTTAACAAAGTATACTTGAGTTAAAGAACTCAAGTATAGCATGTTTTGCATCCACAAAACATCCACAGTACTATTAGGAAAAATGTGCTTTAGCTGTAGAGAAAATATCTATATATTTTATATTAATATATTTTATGGCCATCAGCAAAGTCCTGGTAAACATCTACCCAGCTTTTAAATGCATTGCACAAGTTTTTCATCGAGTTGAGGTTTTGTTCAGTCCCATAACTTAGCATCGGCTGCTTATCTAGTCAAAAATTTCTTTGCTGACCTTAAACACGATAATTCTTTGGTTCCTCCTGGTTGTCCAAACCAATTTGCTTTCTTTGGAGGACAACAATTTCAGTCAGATGGTTGAAACTTGGCCCTAGTTAGTTTTTCAAAAGGACAATGCTTTAAAACACCCATCAAAACTGTTTTTGAAGATTTCTTGGTTTCTCCAAAGACTGAATCCTTCTGAAAATGTATGGACTTTTCTTTAAAAGTTGGGTTGATTTCAGAAAACCACCCAATTTACATACAGTAAGTGTTGCTATTTTATCCTAGAAGACGGTGTTATAGAAATAGCTATTGAAACTATAGTTTCTCTCTAACTTGCTGAAGGCCATTTACTCAAGTACTAACAGGGTTTACATATATATTAGAACCTGTGTGCGCGTGTGTGTGTGTGTGTGTGTGTGTGCGTGTGCGTGTGCGTGTGTGTGTGTGTGTGTGTGTGTGTCGTTTGCTGTAACTTACCCACATTTGAAATGCAATTTACCATAGTTTTCATTTTATGCAAAGTGAATTTTATAATTGTGGGTTGCACACACACACACCCACACACATTTCAAACATCCCAGTGAAATGGCCCTGCTTGTTGCTGTTTGCTCCCTTTTTGTTTCTTGAAGACATCAGACCGAAGATGCTTTGATTAGTTTACACACTGATCCCTTTCATGGATTAGAAAAACAACCCAAGCCCCACGCCATTCGATAACGGCTCAATACTAAATTGGAGCTCTTGCCTTCCAAGCGCACCCTGTCATCCATGTTGAATGGCAGCAACGATGTGAAATTAATGCGTTGTGGGATTCCTGACAGCCACATAGAAAAATAATGAGCAGCCATCTGTCAGTAATCACCAGCAGGTTGGTACAGATGTGCCACTGAACACTCAGTGACTACAGTGCAGGAAGGGTCTTGTATCTATCTGCAGAGCAGTGCAGAAGACAAGAGTTTTTTGTAGTGAAATCTTGTTCTCAGAAGTCGCTTGATTGGATTTGGAGCAAACGAGTGAGGATCAGAAACAGGTGAGCATGTGTTGCACTGGACTGCAGATCAGACACGGGGTATTAAAAACTGCATGCCTTATTTTTCTTCTAATATTCACATTTTTGCTTAGAGATGAAATGATAACACCAAGGAATGTAAGTATCTGTTATCACCAAGGTGATGCCAAATTATTGCAGTGGATTACCTTGAAACAGGTGACTTGAACTTCAGCCTCCACTCTGCTGTCAGATGCAGCTGAACCTTTGAAGAAAAAAGCTTTTAACTTGTCAGCAAAACATTTTTTTCTGCACAACTTTTAGTTAGTCTTCAGCCTGGAGACGATAGGATGGGTGTTAGTTTGAAGGACTTAGCAGCCCATCGTGGTCTTTGACTTTGCCATGCCCTCGTCATTCCTTTCTTATGACCTCAAACCACTTTCCCAGTAGGAGGAAACTATGCAGCCTTTTCCCGTTTTGTCATGCTTTGAGCACAAACTTCAAAACATTTTATGTGGATTCTGTGATAAAAATACAGATGTTCTGTGATGGCCTTATAGTGTTGGTAAGAGAACACGATGGAGGCTAATGAAATCACAAGGATACATTTAAAGAGGACTTTTGTTACAAAACTACTTTCCACAAAGTAGTTCAGATGTTCACTGTAACTAATAAAGAAACTTTTGGAAATTGACAACCTTTAAGCAACATACTGTTAATTTGGAGCTGAATACAAATGCATTAGACACTTTTTAGACGTTAGGTGTAAAATTTCCCTCTTTTTTCCCATGCACCTTTTTCTTCACACCACTTTGTGTTGGTTTATCACAGACAATCACAGTGAAACAAACACAAAGTGTGACAAAATGGGGACTGCAACTCTCGGTGTGTAAATAGATTTTCTGAGTCAGTGTACATGCTGCGGTTGCCCATAAGAGTAATGCATTACAGCTGTAGTCCATTAGAACAGAGCAGTATTATTCATAAGGTATTGTGGTGAAACGGCCCACATGAGGCCTGTCGGTGCATCTCAGGATGGAGCTGGGTGTCGCTACATAACAGTTAGCTGGCACTGTTTGCCGTTCAGTCTTTATTTATTGTTCAGGCGTTTCTCTGAGCGTCCCCACTGTGAGCCAGCTTCAGAAAGCCATCGGCTTTAGAATAACACCGAGCTCTGATTCAAGTTTCATTCATGTAAACATCAAGCGCGACTAGAGTCTTCCGCTTTAGAGCTTTGTCTTGTCATACATTGGTTTGAATCCAGTCTCCTTCACCAAATAAGTTTTTCAACCGTTTTTATCAACATCAATCTCTGGTTATTGTTCAGAACTCTTGAAGCAGAAATGGGATTTTCAGCATCTGCTGTGCTGACAAAGAAATAATCTGTCGATAGTCGGATCAGATTGTGGTTCATCTAGTGCTGGTCAGGTGAAATGTAGCAGCCTGTGTTTGACCCGCCTTAGCGCTGTCCTCAGGTGCCACCCAGTGTGTCACACTGCATTAACGCCCCTCTGTCCTGTCTGGTCCTGACCCTGCTAAGTGAATGGGTCACTATCCGCTCCTTTATAGTGGCAGCAGGTAACAAGGCATTATACAAGACGGGAATTAATCAAATTACGCTTATCAGCGAAGCTTGAGCTCCGGGAACCAGCCTGGTTTGTGCATGAAATATGTCACAATGATGACGGTGGAGGACAATAAGCAGGGACATTTCTACTGTCGTCAGAGAGAATCCCTGGAGGTCGTTAAAAAATACACACTTTGGAAGTCAACATGAAAGAGTCACAAGGCTGGAGAAGTGACTGCAGCAGAGAACGGCTACTGGCTAACAGCTAGCAAGTCAAAAAGTCAACCCCTCTATTTATAACACCTATCAAAAGTGCTTTCTAAAAAAATATCTATCTTCTCTTTCAGAGGAGATAGACAGATAAGCTTGTTTGCAGGTTAACAAACCTGCAAACATGTCAGGAAGAAAGTCATGACTTCTTCCTGAAATCACAACTCACACAAATCACAAGATGTTCAGAACGATGCTCTGAACATCTTTCAGAGCTCTGTTTAATCCGTTTACCATGGAAACCGATCTAGGTTCTCACGCTTTCACAGAAATATTTTACAAAGAATGACTATAAATTAAAGGAATATCCTTAATTAAGAAGGAAGTTTTTTTGTGAAATGGTTGCTAACTGTTTTTTGTACTGAAGTACAAAATATATGAAAACTGAATGTATTAAATTTGTTTTGTTTTAAATAACTGAAATACCACCAATCTGGTCATGTGACCTCTCCAGCTGTTTCACTCATTTCTTTTCTCACTCTGTGCTGTTAGTTAATGCTATCCTCAGCTGACCTTGAGAAATGAATCAGCTAAAGCCTCTCCTCTGCCTACATCCCCCAGAATGCTGTGCGGTTCTGCGTTGGAGTTCTATTGGACATATTTTCTACTGATACTCATATGTTCATCCCAATAATTGCTGTTATTGATTAATTGTCCAGTTCAAATTAAACCCTAAAACAAATAAAATATGTTTTATTAACTGAAGAATCTAAAGATTTCTTCTGTAAGCATTACAAGAACCAGCGGCTTCAGTTTAAAGAGCCATATTGTGCTGGACCAAAACCAGAACAAGACACTTGGAGTTCCTTTGCTTTTCTTTCCCTCACATCATTTGGAGCTAAAATCTCTCCAAAAATGGTTGTGACACATTCTTCTAAAGAATTGCGCTCTTTAGTTTTTCAGTTTTTCTTACTTCTGTTTAGTTCTTTCTGAGTTCTTGTTCTACAGGATGAGTCCAGCATTCACAACGAAGGCAGACAATAGTTTCCACAGATGCCTTGAATTTCTCTTTTTACGGTACAACACCACTTTAGATGGATCTCCATCATCCACTATGTCCCTCTAATGGAGCAGCGTAACTGTTGGTGATGTTTTTATTGCATGGGCTACAAAAAGCTGCCTGTTGATGGTATTTTGTCTACCGAGATGAATCACATTAAAAACATGCGTGTGAGAGAAGGAGCCGCCATAAAGAAGGTGTGGAATCCACGCTGAATGAGACCTGCACTGCCGGCACTTTCCACACCAGAGTCATTTGCCACGGTTGATTTACTCCATGTGTCTGTGTGCTCAGAGTTGCAATTTCCAGCAAGTAATCACAGCACCCCCAAGAGGGAGACAGGTGCCGCGCAGTCCAAAGAACAAAGATTCACCTTCTCATCTCACGTCTCTCATGTTTTCACAGACTCCTCTTCCGCTGCTCTCAGACAAGTGCAGATAAGGGACACTTGCTTTATTCCCAAATGTTGAAAGGTAGCGTTACTGCAGGACTAGAACCAGAGCAACGGAGATTCCAGAGATTGTTGTTTACTGCTTTTCGTTTGTGGTGCGTTCAGGGAATTCACAGCCATTGGAGGAGAGTTCCAGGCTGAGGCTGACAGTGACTCATGGCCACTTCCCAGATTTAGGAACGACACTTCTTGGAGTCCCAACAGAGACAAACCAGAGCTGAAACTAATCCCGCTTATTGTAGCCGGACAGTCTGAGTTTTGCTGTGCGCTCATTCCTGCGTATCCCTCTATGAAATGAGTCTGACACATCCATAAGAATGATGGAGTGGCTCAGCTCTCCATCATTCTCACCACTGTGCAAAAAAAGGGAATGGAGAGGTTTGATGAAATGTGCCTGACTGTGTGTTTCAGAGCCGACCATCATCACTACGCAGCCCACAACACTGGACATCACCGTGGGGGAGAGCGTGGTCCTTCCCTGTCAGGTGAGCCATGACCCGTCTCTGGAACTCAAGTTCACCTGGTTCTTCAACGAGCAGCTCATCCACTTTGGGAGCAATGGCGGATTCTTTGAAAAAGTCGGAGGCGTAAGTCCATAATCTGTCTTTGATCATTTGAGTAGACTTCAGGCTGTATCACGATATTTACGATACTACTGTAAAAACGATAAAAGTTATAATAATGAATATTTTTTAGATTTTTTTTTGTTTAGCTGTGACTGTGTGTCACACACACATAAATAGTTTTCTTGAAAAATATTCCTATTTGTAGTGTGCTTCTCACATAAGTCACATAAAGAAGTGTAACTTGTACCACTAAGCCGCACACAGTAACTGTATTTTAAAATGTATTGGTATTTATTGATGATTTATTGAACAAGCAATGGAAACACAGTGAAACCAGCAATCCTATAAGCAGTTTAATTAATTATTGTAAAATCACAACTTTTTTCATATGAAATAAAACAAATCTCATATGATAAGAAATTCATACTATAATTGATCAACAATACAATAAATGCCCACCCCTACTTTTAAGAAAGAATGCAATTCTTATGACCACAAATAACTTAAGCTCCAGGTTACTGTGGTAACGCAGTAGAACAAGGATCCAAAAAAGAAAATGTTAAAAGAAAAGTTCTGAAGTAGCCTAGTCAAAGCCTAGACTTAATCTGGTTCAGATGCTGTTAAGTTTCCTTCAACAAGTCAACAATTCTAAAAAACTCCAAAGTGAGTGAATTAAAACTAACCAACAAAGAAAGGTGGGCCAAAAGTGGTGCTAATTATTGTCCTGCTAATATTAACGCTCGATGGTGCCAAGGGCTGTGGGCTATAGGAGCGAGTTATCTTTAGTTTAGTTTTGCATGTAGAGTCAGTGCACTGGAGCATAACAAGCTACTGCAGAATAAAAAACTCCCACCAGAAATTGTTCACATTGGTCAACAGTTTTTTTGCATTATCTTTACCCGTGGCTACCAGGAGGCATTTGGTAGACGTAATAAATTATGTCAGTACAGGACATAAAAAGATATTGATTTGTTGGTGAGGATATCTGATATTGACCCTTATTAGCCACCGTAGTATTTGTTCCTTTGACAGCTAGCCACATGAGCTGAACCACACCAGCTTTATTGTTGGTTCATTTTGAACTGAATTTACATTCAGTAACCCAGAGAGCGTAGATAGAGAAAGAAGTCGTTCTTTCCCCTCCCTCCAAAGTTCTGTTCCCACATGCCTGCATTCCTCCTAATAGCTAGTAGCTATTACTATAGCTAGTTTTTCCTCCTGCTGGCAGGGATGCTAGCTAGCATCTCCCCACTGTTTGTTAGATAAAGTGCTAATCAAGAACACAAAGCTCCCTGAGGTTTCTGGAAGAATCCTCATTTTATTGGCTCCCCTGTGCTCTGACAGGAGCCCAGGACATAAAAGATATTGATTTATTTTTTTCCCAGCTGCCTTCACAGACTTCAATGAATAAAGGTTGAGAGGTGACGCAGAAGATTCATTGGTCCATTCACTGCTTCCTTTAGCAGAACTGTAATAAATTCAGCTGCAGTGCAGAGGGAATGTTTGTATCAAGTATATTATTTATGGACAGAAAATTGCTGCCTCTGGCTAATTTTAAAATGAAATTTACATACTCACCCTGCAAATAGTTGCAGGCTGCCAGTGGACACTTTAGAAAGGTCTCCAGCTCACCAAAACAGAGGTGTTTTCTTTTCTGCATGTAGCAGATAACGCCAAGTTTTCTTTATCTACAACCAGCATGAGAAATAAAGAAAAATTAAAAACACATTTGCCTTGCTTTTTAGTTTCTGCAATAATTTTGGGTTTCTTGGAGCGTGATTTAAAGTCTCGGCACCTTAATAAATGGCTCTTCATCTCCACTTACATTGATTAAGCCCTTGGCCACACCTCTGAATTCCCACCATCATTGTGCCACAGCTTTCAGCCATCTTCTATTTATTACTCAGCTCCACTCTGATGAAATGATAATGTAGGAGTGGGAATAGTAATTAGAGATGGAATGAAAGGCTCTCTTAAAGGACTAAGTAGCAGGCCAGCCATTAGGCTGCTCATATAACATTCTACAGTCCAAATAAGACTGCTAGAGGAAGTAATTACGCAGATGAAGTAAATGCACAGAGCGGCACTTTCGTGTCCCATTTGGAAAGTGAGAGGAGAGAGGCCCCGCATGTGCATTTATGGATTTATTTTTCAGGACACACGTATGAAAATGAGCTTTCTTCCCGAGACCGGTGGTGTCAGGGTCAGGGGTTGTTTTGTTGTTGTATTTTTGTTTAATTCCAGTAGTTACAGGGTTACAGTCATGCTTATGGAGGTGTGTCTGCTTTCTGTGTGCGCTGAATGACAGCAGCACTCAGCGGGGGACATTATGATCCGGAACATCCAGCTGGGACATGCAGGGAAGTACACATGCGCCGTGCAGACCAAGGTGGACAGCATCTCCATAGCGGTGGACCTGGTTGTCCGAGGTAAGTCGGGGAAGATGGACTTTCACAGTATTTGGCTGAACTGTTGTGGTAACAATAAACATGCTAAATATTTTCTAGATCTTTTTGTTGAAAGCTTGATTAAGAAATTAAATGAAAATGAATGAATAAACTTGTTTATGTGATAAGTAATTAAAAATCATTGCAGGGACGGATGTAAACAGTTTTACATTGATATAGTTTTGAATTATATATTCATAATTCATCCATGGTGCTAGCTCTGATCATGTCCCAGCCAATCAGAGGAAACGTCAGCATTTTATCCAGACGTTGGAGCAACAAGCTTTACATCATGTCACAATGTTCTTCCCTCATCAAAAACATTTGTAAAGCACATAATACTGGCCTTTCAACAACCCTCAGATGATAGTTTAATTATGCATGGTTTATCCACTAATAAAGAAGTAAAGTATTGGCAAGTTAAAGGTTCTCTGTTCAAGACTTAAAGAAAATTTACAATCTAATTAGAGCGAACGTCTCCCAGAGGGTTCACGCTGAACTGACTTTGCTGCCATTGCCACCGGTGCTAAAACCTCCAATCTTTCTGACTCCTCTGATTTACATTTTCTTCCCCACTTCTCCCCTCCTCTCTGTCTCTCTCTATACGTCGTTTTCTCCCTGCCTGACTACGGCATCCATCAGGTCCCCCAGGCCCCCCCACCAGCATCCAAGTAGAAGAAATCACTGATACCACGGCCTCTCTGTCCTGGAGGCCCGGTCCTGATAATCACAGTCCAATTACGGCGTACACCATCCAGGCCAGGACACCGTTCTCCCTGGGGTGGCAGGCTGTCACCACAGGTAAGCTTTCTCCAACCAGCCGTGGCCTCCTCCAGTCCTGACAAGGACTCCACTCGTGGTTTCTGCTCGGCTCTGGGAAAATATTAAAGTTGTAATTTCCTGCTCCGGCACCAAATGGCGCACTGTGGTTGCCGGGATCATTGACCGCTGTATTATCGGACTCCTGGGAGCCCTGAAACATGGATCTCTTCCTGATGAAAAAGCATGTTGCCAAGGCTATAATATGATAGTGTAGTTATATAGCACATTCTTTTTAATGGGACTCTTACTATTCATGCATTATCGGTATAATGTGCTTTTATCCTACACCTTATACCCTCCTTTATTGATAGAATTTTTTTTTGATGGACTCTCTGAGTATCTGAGATACTCTTCCTGGACTCTTAATCTGCAGTCCCTCATTCATATATTAAAGAACACGTTAAACACTGTAGGTGGAGAAAGATATTGTTACCTTTAATGCATTCGTCTCTATTTACACAAAATATCCATTGTCTTGTGGTAATTGCACACATTTCACACAGATCTTACAAAATCATGCTAGATTTTGGGATTACATTTCTGTGTAATTTCTCATGTATCTGCAGGATTTATTTGTTCCTTCCACTTTAAAGCTGTGCATTACTACTTGTTCCATAAAATTCTCCAAAAAAGCAGAAAGGGATGAGCTTCGCACATGTTGTTAGCTGCAGATGCATCCTTTGGTACAAAGGAACAAGTGTAAAGAATTGCTGCAATTGCATTTAGGCATTTCATAAAAAATAAAATAAAATATTTGATTATTTACATCTTTCTGTGCATTTTTGGTATTACATAAAAAAAAGATTTAAATGTTCAAATGAAAAATCTTCAGATTGTGCCATTTTCTTTTCGCTGGTTTTAACTGGAGGCGCTCTGTGTTTTCTGCCAGTTCCTGAGGTGGTTGGGGGCCACCAGCTGACCGCTGCTGTAACAGAGCTGAGCCCTTGGGTGGAGTACGAGTTCCGAGTTCTGGCAAGCAACAGAGTTGGGACCGGCGAGCCCAGCAAGCCCTCCAAACAAGCGAGGACGAAGAGCACAAGTATGTTCTGCTTCAGGAAAGTGTCTCAGTGTAGGCCCAGTAAAACATGAGAACATGTGGTTTGATAAATTGGACTAAAAGTTATATATTGTTTTGAGAAATGATCAAAAACAGTTGGAAAAGACAGATGTCAGAAAGCTTTGAAGCAAGAAAATTACTTTCCTAATTTATTTAATTTTATTTTATTTCATAATATGTGTCCAAAAAAAGTGATACATTTTAAATGCAAACAGTTGAAGTTAGTTGAAAATCTATTTGTGGACTGAATGTTGTGTTTTCAGAACTATATTGAACTTCTATGAAGATAACCTATTTTAAAAGTCCTTATCATAAATGAAACTGTTGATGCATGCAGAACTAACCCATTTTTAAAAGGAACTAACTATTTTCCAATGTTTTGCTGCTTTTCCTGCGTCTTGTATTGTTGCTGGACTCCTCGGCTGCAGAAAGTTTCCGTTGTTTACTGTTTAAAGAAAATAAAAAAAAACAGAGAAAATGTAGAAGTTTTTTTTCAGAGTTCCAAGGTGGCTGAGCCGATCTGTTTTCCCCCCACAGCTCCGAAGGTCACACCGGCTAATGTGAGCGGAGGAGGAGGCAGTCGCTCCGAATTAGTCATCACATGGGAGGTAAGCAAGCTCTCTCAGGAATCCTCTCACCCATGGAGGAGGCCGCCAGACGCCATTACTCTCTTTGGGTGCCGGCCCCCGTTTCATTAATAACAAGTGAACGGCCTAATGTATGACGTTTCATTTTTAAGAACACAGAGGCAATAACTGCAGCTGTCATCCCTGAGGGGGGGGAGGGTAGAAAAATGCTTTTGAGGTTTCAAAAGCATTTAAAGCAAAATAATTAAAGTCATAGTTTGTTCAAAGTCACAACTTTTTGTTTCTAGATGATTTTCCTTTCGCGTCTTGCCTTTGTGTTTCATCAGCTGGTATTCAAATTGCTTCTGTTTATTCAGCACAAAGAATCAGTGCCGATGTTTCCAAACACAAAAGCTCCATCATAGTAAAATATCTGCTTTACAAAGCTGCCCGTCGTCAACTAGGGAAATTCTTTTTCCTTTTTACCCGGAAGGAGGGATGAAAAGTTGCTTGACTTAAATTTTGGGGTCTAAAATGAATGGAAGTAAATACAATGTCCTAATGTGTTCACACTACAAGCTTGTAGGTACATGTGTGCTTTTTTAGTTGTCCTAATTAGGACCATTTTTGGCATATTTTCTAACCCTCTGAATAGCAATGGGCCTTTGGTGGACCAAATTCCAGTTCTTGATACAGCAGGCTACCTTGTTTAGTTATGGTTGGTTTATGTCTACATGTAGAGATAGGCATAAACGCTGTTACTAAAATGAATGGAAATCTCTATAGATCTCTTACATAAATAACTAATATAATTTTTATTTCTACCTCTGCATTATTTACAAATCAGGAGTTTATTTTCTTACATATGTTTCTTTGTACCTATTCAAAAACTCTGGAGATCCTTTTGTAAACTACAATATGTGAAAAAAGGTGTTCAATAAAAATGACAATAATGATTAGTCGTCGATACCAGGTGCTAATATAGACCAGAATAGAATAGGAAATAAACACCAAATTCAGGTGTGCAAGCAACAAAATAACAGGTGAGTCAAAACATCCAGATTTACATCAAGGTGAAAAAATATAAAACAGAATGTTGGTCTGCTGAGGAGATTGAGGAAGAGCTCGGTTCAGTTTAGTAAATGTGAGTTTGTAACAACTTAGTCTCCGACTTGAAAAATAAGGCAGTAGCTCATTAATCAAACAGAAAGATTAAAAGCATCATTAACTGTAATCTAGTTGAATTTACATTTAAATCGATTGTGTTTTAATGACAAAATAATTAAAGTGACAACACTTTGATTTACAAAGTTTAGTTTAGTTACTAGAAAAAGAAAACGGGATCAAAAATATATGTTTTTTCTTTTACTACTTTAACTGGTTGTCCAGGAGGGTCTGATATCTTCCTTCATAATATTTTTTTACCAGAACTTCTCTGAAAGGTTATTAAATTATCTGTTTGTGTTTTGGTCTTCCTGTTTGATTTTTTTCCCCCACTTAGCAGCAAAAATACAGTATTGATCTTTTTTGAATTGAGAAAATTCCCCTAATTTAAGTTTTGAATTGCTAACCATCTGTATTATGAAACCAAGGGACCTGCCTACATTAAACTTAATCTAAGCAGAATATACAGCTCAAGGTCAGATTCTTTCAAATCACGCAGTGATTCTCCAAACATGTCTGACAGAATGAGTCAGTGTGGTATCATAATATGTGCATTAAGTTAAGATATGAAATGTCTTCTTGACTAAACATTCAACAGTTAGAGTAGCAGTGTTATAACAAAATTATTGGTATTGTTGTTACAGTGGCAACAACAGTAATTCACCCATTACAAGTTTTTCTTTTCAACAATTGAAGCAGTTTTGTCATTATCTGTGACAATAAAAGGACATAGAGATCAAAACATTCACATGTTGTATTCAAGCAAGAGGTCACAACAATAAAAAGGAACTTATAAAATTATTAACACAATCAGAGAACAGATTAACAAATTTTTGATCAAGTGTGTAAAGCTTTTAGTTTTATATAATCAATGGAAATCAAAGTCAAGAATCTTAGCAGATGCAGTATATAGTATAAAATTACATCTAAAATCATCTTGCTTCATTTGTTTGAACATAGCAAATGAAAGAACAATTAATCAAACTATAATCTGCAATACATAAAAACATAGGTAAATAAGAATAACAAGAATTTGACAGACACACACAACTTAACCATAAACGAACTTAAGGCAAGAAGTCTTTTGGTTTTATGCACATCTTAAGGAAAATAAATCTACATTTGATTCACTTATTGAAGTTTTAAAAATGTTTTGTACCTGAATTTCACCGACAAACTCTGGAAGCTGAAAACAAGCTTCTAGGTCATCATAGCTAACTTAAAGAGTCCTAACACAGAGCCCTGAGGGACACCTCATGTTTATCATCTCACATTGAAAGTCACTTTATTTACAAACCTTATATGCTTGGTAAATTCAGGGCAGTGCAAAGATAAACTATCTAAATTAAATTGAAATTCTTTTACACAAAATGATCCTAAAAGATAAAAATATGGCCAAAGGTTCTAAAATACTTTTAGAGCATCAGAGCGTGTGTTTTCACATAACCTTTCCAAAAATCACGTTTTTTTAAAAGTCTGTACCCTTTAGCGGGGTTTAGTGGGTTGGTTTACTTAGCAGAACAAAGTCTGCAGCTCTGAATGTCCAGGTCTTGTTGTCAGAGTGGGTCTGAGTTTACGTTATGACGCTGAGTGCTCTGTGCCGTGTAATGGATGTGTGCAGTAAAAGCTCAGCCATGTTCAGCAGGTTCCATCTGAAGCCAGGCGCTGCCTTTAAATGACCCCCTCTACTCTCACCCTGTATTTTTTTTTCAAATCATGCAGAGTAAACAAAGTGAAAGCTTATTAACAGTGTTTAGAGCGGATGTTCAGATGGGTTGTTGTGTGTTTGCTTGCAGCCTGTTCCAGAGGAGCTGCAGAACGGGCCGGGGTTCGGCTACGTGGTGGCGTTCCGACCTCATGGAGCCACGGGCTGGATGCAGGCCGCCGTGCCGTCCCCAGAGGCATCCCGATACATCTTTAAAAATGAGAGCATCCAGCCTTTCTCGCCTTTCCATGTAAAGGTTGGCGTTTACAACAACGAGGGGGAGGGTCCGTTTGGACCGGTTACCACCATCTACTCTGCTGAGGAAGGTGTGTACAAGGACTCCTTTCACTCAGGCCAAATGGAACAGACACCAGTCAGGGTTCTTGCTGGATCTCAAAAAGGCTAAAATTTTTATTTAAAAAAACAACATAATATGTGAATTTAAGTAGTCTTACGAACACCCAGATTTTCATCCAAAGTCTTAAATTTTATTTTGTCGAGTCTTAATATTTTATTTTTGATTATTCTGGAGAACCTACTGTCCTATAACTGGTTCCCTGGAAGCAGAACTCGGTGCTAAATGGGATTAGCTCAGGCATATTTAGGATGAGTTTGTATGCAGGCCTGCAAAACTGTTGATTGTTTTAGTGCTGATAATTGAATCTCTTTTATTTAATAAACTTGGATCTTCTTTCATAACTGAATTGATAACGATAATAAGGTTTCTTTGTTAACATGTTAATGTGAATCCTTTGTGTTGGCCTTAACTTGCATTCATAATGGTCTTAAAAGTCACTGAATCCTGCAAGAACCACAAAAGTTCAAAGATAGGCATGTGTTGTTATTATTGTTCTGTTATATGAACAGCAAAAACACTGTGAACTGCTTTCCATACACACTTAGATTTTCTCATTGGCGCTGCTTGGATGAATAATCTGAGCGGACGCCAAGCTGTGGTCCAGTGAGCTCCAAAATGTTTCACATCTCAAAAATAATCAAATGATTTACTGAATTAATCCCTATTTAATTCATGACTCATGATGATTTGGAACATTAATAATGAATAAATGGGATCTTTTTTTTTCTTTTTTATTCCTGATGCTCACTGTGAACTTGCGATTGCTTCATGCTCAACACATCATTACTTAATAAATGCTCATTCACTCTTTCATAAAACAACACAATATAACTCCAAGTAAATCAAACTTCTGTGAAATCAAACTGTCCACTTAGAAAGCAACACTGATTGACAATCAATATCACCTGCTGTTGTGCAAATGGAATAGACAACAGGTGGAAATTATTTTCATATTTATTTCATTCATTCAGATCTAGGATGTGTTATTTGAGTGTTCCTTTTATTTTTTTGAGCAGTGTATATATATATATATGGGTTGTATAATATTGATCTAAATTGTGCATACTCCACAATTTTACTAATGAACTTGAAATAATCCTTTTCTGTGTTAAATAGGGAGTACTACACAATTTCTAACAAAATCAAATTAATAAAGAGTAAAGGACACATGAGGGCAAATGGCAACATTCAGACAAAACAAAGACATGAGTGAAGGCGATGACATCACAGGGCCATGAAGCCACGTTGCTCAGTGTCCCGGCAGAAGTCCGGGAGGCTGATGTTATTCTTCCTGGGCAACTCTCAGCTCCATAACTCCATGGATTACAGAAGGGTTGAGGGTTTACATATCTTCAAGGAGATTAGAAATATGCAGCCCATCCAAGGCAACAAGGGGAAAGCCAATTCAGATACAGATACCTGTGCCCAGTCTTGTCGAGAAAATTTGATCAATTGTTTTGAGAGACCAATTGACCAGATCCATAATTTGTAGATTTAGAAGAGGTGCACAAAAAGGCTCCATAAACTACACACACTACTCTAGCTCTTTCTCTTTCAGCATGTTGACTACTTGACCCCGCTTCCATCTTGTTTTAATGTTCCCAATAGAGGAAGGAAACAACTTTGCAACTCTTTGGATGTTTCCTCTTCAAAGCTAACTGTCACTCCTCAAATCTTTTTTTATATATATATAAATATATATATTTATATGATAACTCCAGAGCCTGGCCGACCTCCCACCAGGATCCGCGCCAAGAGCCTCTCTGCGTCCGAGATGGAAGTGTCATGGAAGGCTCTGCCCTGGAATGCCAGCAAGCGGCGAGTGTTGGGCTATGAGGTGAGGCCCGGTCCGCTGGACATGTGTGTGTGTGCGCGTGTGTGTGCGGGTGTGTGTGTGTGTGCATGTGAGCGTGCACAGCGACCGGCACTGCTGAATCTTGTTCTCCTCTATTATTGATGAGCATTTCAGGCTCCTGCACCTTGGGCATGTGAGATAATAGCTTGCTGCATGCATAACGGTGGAGCCCAGTCCCCAGCCTGTGGGTTTAAGTGTGTTTCTTTTGTTGTTTACCTAAGTAGTGCAACGGGGCCTGATTAGAGTAGCGATGCAACATTCTGAGCGACACAGCGTTAATTCTAATCCACACAACAAGCAGTTTCAGACAGCAGCTTCAAGCTCACTTTGTTCATATCTTTTTTGTTATTATCATTATTGAAATCAAGGCCCTGAAAAAAAATCATTATTTTGTTTGCATGAATTAAGACAACTATTTAAAAAAATTAACCAACAGTTTGTATTTATAGCATTTTTCAGCTATAAAGGAATCCTTTGGTCGTCCTTTATTTGATTGTTTTCCTCTATTGCACTCTTTCACAGTATAAAATAATGTTTTCTAAATGATATATGATGTTCTAAAATTGATTTAATATGTAAGCACGTGTTTTGATATTAGGTAATATGGAAGAACTTCTCTCTTATCAAACAAGTACATTATCTAAAATGATCATTTTGAAACATTGTCTTTTTATGCGTGTGTTTTTTATTTTTATTTTTTATTGATTTATTAGAAAGAAAGCATCCAAACCACATCCTGTGCGGTGACATGCTGCTGTTTTCAGATCGTTGCACATCTTCCCTGCGGTCGAGTTCACATGTCCCTGTTTTCAGTTCGCTCTCTGCTGTGGCAGCAGAAAGCTTTTAGGGTGCGCTCACCATCTGCCCCCTGCTCTGTCCCCTGCTCTGTCCCCTGCTCTGTCCCCTGTTTGTCTTTCAGCTCAGGTACTGGAGTAGAGGCGAACGGGAGGAAACGGCCAGCGTGAAGAGAACCTCTGGGAATCAGACGTCCAGCGTCATCGGTGGCTTAAGAGGAAGCACGGCGTATCACATCTCAGTGAGGGCCTACAACACGGCCGGAACGGGCCCCCCCAGCACCACCGTCAATGTGACCACCAAAAAACCACGCAAGTACCACACTTAGTCTGAGCTCTGCAGACTAATCATCAGCATGAATGTCATGTTCTCTGGTGAAAGTTTTTTAAATTTCTGACTAATTTTGTATTTTAAAAATGACATACTTTTCCATAATCAGATTTCCATGTTTTTTGAGCAGTTTTTCAAACATTCTTGACATTTGAATGCAAAAAATGTCTGGAAAAAGTCCATGGATCTATTTCTCTATAATATTTGGTGGTAATGATTCCCCAGCAAGTTGTACTTTCATTAAACAGTTAATGTGCTTCTGTTGTTCATAAACATATCAAACACTGGGGGCCACAGCTAGCTAAAATGTTACATGCACTAGCGCTAAAGCATTAGCGCTCAAGTGCTAACAACATGATAGTTAGAAGTTGAATTTTTGCATGTATTTGTTTATTTAATACCTCAGTCATTTTTTTCTTTGTAACTCACTCATTTGCTTGTGGTTTGCTCAATAAGGTTTTGAGGGGGAAAGGAGAATATGAGGAGAGGAAATGGAACTGCTTCAGAAACAGTCTTTACACTAAAGTCTAACAATGCCTAGCCAAAGCGTTAACTCATAGAAACTTTATTGAGCTAAATCTCAATAAAGTTTACTTGGTAGTTCATTTACTTGGAACTACCAAGTAAATGAGCTCTTTAGAATTTATCTGGAACAATTTGTTTCAGGGAAGCTAGGTGTGCTAAACGTTAGCAAAAGGACTTTGCAAAAAGGTAACTCTGCTATTAGCGTATTAGCGGAATCTAAATTCGTAAATTCAAATATGTGAACCCAATTCTTCACTGGAGATTTTTTTTTAAATCCCAAAAGGATCATGCTACTGATGGGTGGATGTGAATGTCTGACTCACTTTGCTCAGTAGGAATGTCAAGCCTTTGCTTGAGGTTTAATGTGGCGTCTTTCCTGGCAGCTCCCAGCCAGCCTCCAGTTAAAGTCATGTGGAACACCTCAAACTCCAAGATCATCCTGAACTGGGAGCACGTCAAAGCCCTGGAGAACGAGTCCGAAGTGACTGGTTACAAAGTGAGCACTTTGCTCTTTCACTTCATCAGAAACTTCTTCCTGTTGCCATGGCGCGCCCAACTCTCCACTTAATCTCATCTGCAGGTGCTCTACAAGAAGAATCGTCACAGCCGGCCCAGCGTCATGGAAACCAACACCACCTCAGTGGAGCTTGCTCTTCCCACCGACGAGGATTATATCATCCAGATAAAGCCGTTTGGAGAGGGAGGGGACGGCAGCAGCAGCAAGCAGATCACCATCCCCAAGATACCAGGTCAATAAAGAGCTAGCTACTGCTGGTGCTATCCAGCTAGCCAGTCCCACGTGGCCCATTGCTCGTGTTATTGTCAGAACACTTCCACCATTGTCTTGTCCAGATGAAGCCAGAGTAGGAGGAAAATGACCTCAGGTTTAATGCATCACCTCCCGAAAGTGTTTGTATATCTTGAACATTTCCTGATTGTGTCAATGTACAATCACTACTTTGTATTTTTTTTCACAATATTATTTAATAAACCAGCACATTAAGGGTATTAGAGTGAATGAGGCTAAGTATAAACTTTTTCCACTGTAAAAATAGAAAATCATGTTTTAATATGTGGCACAGTAAAGGAAAAGGAAAATACAAAAGAAGTTGATCTATCCCATAAAATCACAAATGATGCTTGTGGCTGTACATAAGCTTATCACAATAAGCAACTAATGAATTAACCGCATGATAGATTAAAATAAGCACAATAATTTTCATTCTCATGATTAATATTTTTTGAAGGGCAATTTTGGTTACAGAGTTTCTTGATCCATTTTATGTATGGCTCCTGTTTTGTGTTGGTTTTATATTTCTCTTTTCTTTTGTTCACTGCTTTTGATCGTTGTGTTTTAGTCTGGATATTTAGAATATCTTCCGGTGCCAGAGGTGTGTACAAAATTAATGTTTATTAATTTTGTTTGAGAGGGCAAAATTGCATTATTATGCCATTATGAATATTTTACTTGGAAATGAAAACAACAGTATTATTGCTCATAGAAATAATTTCTAGGACAATTTATTGTCTAGCAAAAGGTGCTATCATCCTTGGTTGTACTGTGACAAAATGCGCTGAAGCAATTTGAATTCTTATTTGTAGATGAAAGTGATTTTTTTCCCCAGTATGGATCTAACTAACATCCTTTCTGCTCTCTCTTCCCCTCCAGGCCCCAACGCGGTGGGCTCGGCCTCCAAGGTCTCCACGCTGTCGGCCCTCAGCACAATAGCTCTGTCTTTCACAGCCCGAACATCTTTATGACAAATGGCTTACAGCAGACGTTGCATCTAACGTGGAGACAGGTATCGGGTGGGAACACAAACGCAGCCCACTCCGGTGTAACTAGACCCATTCATTTAGATTTTAGCGGCAGAGGGAAGACACTGACGTAAAAATGTCCAAGCACTCCATGGAGAGGACAGAGAAGGAATCCCTGTCAGCAGGCCAGGTGGAGGAGATTGACCGATGTCGTGACTATGTTGTTACCAAAGCAGCTTTCATAAAAGAAAAGTAAAGAAAAAGTCTTATATGCATCTTTTTGTATGACATGTTGAGCTTTTATAGATTTTTGTTTTCTTAATGGGTTTGTAGATGACCTTGGCTTCAGGGGTGAGAATAGTTCAATGCATGGAAAATGGCATTGTCCTGTTTTACAGTCTGAAAGTGAAGAACATGATTCAACAGATCCCCATCTGTCTTCTAAGATAAAACACAACTTATAACTTTGATATTTTCTGCATTCCAGAGTATTTATGACAGTCTTTTCATAATGAAAGCACAGCATTAGTGCTATACCAGTTTCCATAAAGTTACTATCGAAATGGAAAAAAACAAAAAAGGTAAATCCTCAAATCCCCAGATACAAACACTCTCTTGAAATGAGATGGAGTGCACTTTCTTTTTTCAAAGACTATATATAAAATCGTGCCCAGTTCACATTTTGGGCTGAGGTGTCACTTTTTCAGTGTAAAGAGAAGAGTAGCATCAGAATGTGAATGCTAATACTTCATCACCTCATAATCAGTAGCAAGCTGCAAAAAAGCTAAGGCTAGCTTAAAATGATGGGAATAAACGACTTCAGCTGCTGCAGAGTGAAAACATAAACAATTATTCCTCTGTTACTCAAATGGCACAAACATTAGCCTCTGAAATGATACACTCACTGTAATCATTTCTTCTGCTCAGAACAGCTTCAGAAGCCCAGCTGAAAATCAAATGTAGAGTTATTACAGGTTCTGACATTTTTTGTCTTTGCTGCTGTGGCCGCTGTCAGACTGTTGTTCAGTTTGGTGTCCTGTAATAACAGAGTTATATTATTGTAATTGTAAACATAAATTGGAATTAATCAAATTAATTAATTGAGACTAAATCTGTGAGTCAAACTTGGAGGATAACTATATTTTAAAGCTGGTTCTGTGTTTAGTGACTAACCGTTTCAAATAAACTGTGTACCGTTTCTGATACAAAGAATGGTCAAATATGATGGTCAGAGATATGTCAGAAGCTTGTTCATTGTAGCAGTCTTGATTAGGGGCTTTTATGTAGGGTTCTGTTGAGATGTGATCATTTCTGACTGATAACTCAGCTGAGGGAGAAGAGTCTCATCAGTTTAGTTGGTATTCTTCGATGTCCCAGCACTGCATTCAAACTGCTGAACTAATTTGCCCCAGACCACCTAAAATGGTCTGAGAGAAACCATCCTGAAAACATTTGGATTGCATTTCCACCCGTCATTGGGTACGATCAGATATCTTCGGGCCGGGTTAATGCCACATCTGAAGTTCACAGTTTCCTCTTTGATTAAACAGAGATTGGTTTCCCAGCTAACACCTAGAGTCATCAAAGCAGAGGCCTGGTTGGTCATTGCTGCTTAGCAGAACCCCACTTCAAAAACCCACTTCAAAGAACTATTCCTTTTTAAGTTTTTGGTGTCAGAAGTGACATCCAAGATACGAACGTTTTCAGGACTGCTTTTATGAGCGTAACCTGTCACTCAAAGGAGTTCTGCTAAGATTAATAAGGAACTTGGTCTTAAAGTCTGAGGTCTAAGCTGTTAAGAGGTGAAGAGAGAGACTATCTCAAGATTTTTTTAAATTATTTTTAATGCCAAATCTTCATTTGTTTATTCTCACAGTGCTGCAGAAGATTTGGGTATTCATATACTGTGATAAGAATTTTAGAAGTTCAAATCTTGTTTGCCATCTTTTCTTATGTTTACAGACAAAACGTCCACCTGGGTTGTGAACCTTCAATGCACTATTTGTTCCCCTTAAAGATTAACTAGTTATTAGCTAATTTAATCCAAAAAAAAAGGTTGAGCTGCCATAATTTGGAGCCAGTCCAAGCATTGGGCATGCAGAGGTGGGTGAATCCTGATCAAGGCAGAACTAGACAGGAAATGTTATTCCAGCATTGCTACAATATTTGAGTAGCAATTGCATAAAGTCCATCACTGCGGTGCAGTATGTGAGTCATTCTGAAGTTCCATCATTTATGTCAAGGAATTATTTTCAGGATAAGACATGAATCTAGATGAGGCTTAAGTAATTCATGTATTTATTTATGTATTTATTTATTTAAATCAGCATTTATTAATACATTATTAAAACTCATAGAAAACTCACAAAGTTATGGAGTTATGGAATAACTAAATAATTCACTGAACCACAAATGATGCGTTTTGGATAGAAATGATTATGGTGATTTTTACCTCTTTGAGCATCTAGTCTTTAAGACTATCAAGTCAAAGTCCAAGTAACAGCTAAGTGGCAGAATAAAAAAAACTGAGAAATACGAGTTGTTGCCATTTTAAAAAGATAGTTCAGATATTTTGAAGAGAAGTTTTATGATGATGTTATCAGAAAAAACAACCTCAGTGGTGAAAGTCTGAGACTTCATGCTCCCATACAGGACGGCATGCAGATTGTGTTCTGTGAGCCACGCAGGACGGTTGTGATTTCATAGTTGAGCGTATCGATTGCCTCCATTCCTCCTGACAAATTCCTTCATTTCCCACAATCCACATGGATACTAATTGGCGTAATGAGCTATTTTGGCGCCTAGTCTCATGTCTTCCCCTTCCTAGGTTAGTGAGGCACAGAATGGTGGTGTAGCATCCATGACTACTGTTCACGCCAAATCCCAACCTTAGCAGCTCATTGCTGCCCACAAAACGTTTCAATGTTCCCCGCCAAGCATTTTACAGCGCCACACCAAGTGCAGTCGTAAAATGCTCCTTTGCGGAGAGACGTGTCCGGCATACGTCTGCTTTGAGTCAACCTCCAGAGTGTGGGAACCTCTAGTCTAGCTGACCCGTGTTAGCCGACTTGAGCCACTGAAAACAACTCGATCTGAAGCTGCCAATATCAATGGTATACAAAGCTTCCATTTAATATTGACTTACAACTAACAGTTAAGTTGTTTCTGTTTTCCCAGCTGAACAATGTCTACAGGAAGTCAGAGCATTGTAGGCTACATCTGCTAAAAGTGGTGTTCACTATGTGGGGATATTACAGCAGGTTGTCACCTAGATAACTGCATGAGACATGCGTCTCTGTGCCTTTGTACTTGTCCACAAATCTTTCCAAAAGATTGCCGATCAGGGTCGATACAAACAACTTCATTTTCCAAAGAAAACATCACAAACTTAACAGCAGTTTCTAATCAAATTATAGATGTTTAATATCTGCTTATATTAGTGTTGGATTCCACAAATCTGGTCATTTTTAGTGTGAGATGCTAAAACAAACATAATCTTCCATCTTCTCTAATTTCTTCTCTTTACTACAAACCGCAATTTAATTTCTGTCTACGACATGTACTATTGTTCATAGGTTTGTAGAAATTCTTTAAAGATGATGAATCAACCAATGTGACAGACATTGGAGACTCCAGCTTCAGCACATTTTCAGTCCCCATCTTCAAACACCAGAAACCTGATGAAATGTTTAGACAAATCCTGATGACAAAGGTTGGAAAAGCTTGCAGTGGAGGGCCTCTCTCCAGGGCCCTCCACCTCGGCCCCCTGAGCTCCACTGATTGCAGGATCCTCGAGGCTGTCTCTCATGCCCCTCATTCTTTCAGTTAGCCCTGTGTCTAGAGCTCTTCTTTGCCTTCTGTGTGCCTCATCATATGTTCAGAATCCTCAGGTCCTTAAAGAGCCTTAACTTATCGCGAGAATATCAAATTGCATAGAACTTTGCAGCAGCGGCGTTCAAGCGCAGGTGAAACGACATCAAACACTGTTAGGTTTGGGTTGGGAGGAGGAAGAGGGAAGCAACATCCTTTGTCGACGTTACTGAGGTTCAAAATGGGCAATTTATGAGACCAGGTGTGTTTTTTAGGTGGATGTTCTGAGTAAAGGACAATGCTGCTGATTTTTTCCTTTCTCCATCGTCTCCTGATGCCATGTGGGACTGCCACGCTACTCAGAGAACGCTGCGGTCTCATTGTAGCTTGTAATCCAGTTAAGTAGTTTGTAGTACTTTGAAGGGAAATGTACTGTTAGCTACTGGGGATCATGCATCAAGAAATGTGTAAAATACAGTTTTGTACACTTCAGATCATTTATATGAAAATAAACCTTTCTAAAGAGATGATTTACTCTGTTTTTATGTAAACAACTCTTGTTTCATACTGTAGTTAACTGTTGCTCAGCATGACTGTACTCATTGTCTCTCTACTGTCCATCCGCAAAGAGACTGATGCATGTGAGGTCCATGCATCCAGCAGGTCTCTGTATGCTGAACCATTAACAGCCCTGTGTCTATGCTTTGTCTAAGTCGGCCCTTCAGAGATGTACTGCTTTGACTCTCCGTATGCGCTCTGCAGGAGGCGTCCCTCTGTTGCTGTTTGTTGTTTATACCGTGTGAATAAAGATAACTGATTTATAGAACAACACTAAGCTGTGGGTCTCTTAATACCAACATAGAGGAAGAGCTTGGTGCAAAATCTACTGCAATGGTTTAGTTTTGGAGCTGATCTCTAACATCATGGAACGATGTACAGTTGGAACGTTCAATCGACCAGCTGTTCATCGAAGGTGAAGTGAAAGTCAGCGATGCCCAACTATTTATCTAGCTAACTGCATAAATAGCAATTGAGACAAATGGGTAGCTGTCTGTTTATCTAGATAAACTTGTTTAACTTCTTCTCAGGAGTTTAAACTAGATAAATGGATATCTGCCTGTTTACCAACATATAGCTACACAGACAGGCAGATAGCAGATCAAAGTAATCTTAACTCATTCTTTAATCTTTTTTTGTGTGAAGCAAGTTATTCATATTCATGACAAAGTGATAAAATCAGGTTTTCCTCACTTTATGAAAGACTGTCATTGAAAATAACACATTGACTTTTTTTTCACTTTCACATCAGTTTCTTTATGTTTCACCTGTTTAGTGCATTTGCTGTTTGTAGTGAAACAAACAAAGGAGTGATGTTTCAATTATTCCAAAATACCTTTTAAACTATTCAGAGCAATTAGCCTGAGATGTGCAGACATCTTGGTCTGCTATCAGGCTTCCATTAGCTCTGCATCCTGCAAAGAATGGAATGCCACGTCATTTATTATTTATGTCTTCTCGGAATGAAGTCATGTCATGTTTTTCATATTCTGTCACATTGGAAAAACAATGTACTTCATTAGGAGTTTATGTGAGAAAAACCAACACAAGTATGGAAACGTAATCAAATATGGAGAAATTTAAGACGTTCACTGTTCAGTATACAATCAGTCCCCCTCTAGTTTTATTTTGAAACAATAATGACAAAAATCCTCTTACAGCAAAAATAAAAATAAAAATTGAAAAAACAGAAAGTGTTTGCATTTCCTGCAAAAACCTTGTTTCTTATGGGGTTGCAGCAAACTTGGGTACATACAATTATTTTCATTGAAAGGGTAACCTAAATCCTGATATATTTTTTTGTACAGAATTGGCTAAAGTGTGTTATATATATTTTTTCCTATTGATACTCAGAAAAATGCAGTTATTTTTAATCCCTTGCTTGTTTAGCTCCAGAAAAGTCACTAGATGGCAGCAAGACCTTAGGAATGTTTGATCTGCTGCTCTGCAGTCGTTTTGCTAATGTTAAATGTAATAGATTTCATAAGAAGTCAGCATATGTAATGAAAACACATAGTTCCCCTCATTGTAAAAGCCGAGACACAGTTTGAATCATAGTGACACATTTATTTATGCAGGTTTGTTTCCTGTCGAAACTGAATGCAAACACAGCACATACACACCACCAAGCACTAGGGGAATGTAGAGCAAACGGCAGTGGAGAACTGAAGGTGGAGGCTGAACGGTACAGCGGTTTGATGGCCTTCGCTGAGAGTGAACCTCCTGATCCAGGATCTGAACTGCCAGTTTTAACAAAACGCTGAATTCTGAATCGTCTCTTGTCCACTTTCTAAACTCAGTTGCTCTTTCTGGTTCACTTTGTTTAATCTCGGATGCTTTCAGCTGATGAGTGCTCCCATAAAATCAACTCCAAAACTTAAGGCACCCATTTTGTGTTCTTATCACTATTGCACCTTTGACCGTTAGATTATCACTTTCTGATCCATTTCATTTACACAAAGAATCTGGACCTTCGTCAGTTTGACTTCCCAATGCCTTCGCTGAACTCGGCAGCGGTTTCTCCAGCGCTTGGCAGAAGCAAAGTGCTCTCACAACAGTCCAGTGTCATGTGACCGATAGAAAATAAAACAGTAAAATAGAATATACAAGTCAGCAGGTTTAGAACCTCGTTTCCACAGACACGTCTACAGCAGGTCAGCAGTTTCGGGCGGGGATGATGAAAACGGTCACACGTGTTGGGGAATCTCCTCGCTCCACAGCTGTGTCTCATCACTAGGTTTTGGTTACGCTTCGGTTCATGTGAGGGTTCACAGTTTTCTCCCTTCAGAGGACAGAGGATGGGAAAGATGGCGGCTTATTGCAGAACCTCAGAAGCTGTGCGCCACGTCGCCTCGGCTGACAGTGGCACAGACTTAGAGGGCTAATAGGGGTAGTGGCGCCTCCGAGGGGGTTTTCATGTCTGATTTGTGATGCATAGTTTAGTATTAAAGGTCACTCAGAACATATGGATATGTGTGACAGGGCATCTTTATATGCGCTCACCTTTTCCTGTCTGGTTAGACCCTTTTTGCTGCATCACGGCCACAGCACTCTGAACTCTGCAGATGTGTTCAAATGTGAGAGAGTTCTATGGGGTTGAATACTTTTGCGCTGTGTTGTATCTTTGGGAAGGACAGGGGGCGGCCATGTTTACAGCTCCTTTCAAGCAAAAGTCCAAAGTCACATCATCACTGGAGAATTAATCCAACAGAAAGCAAAGAGATCAGAATTAATCTGGCGCTTTTCAACTTTCCAGGGAGTGTTTAAATAATATGATCCAAAACTGGAAGTTATTTTAAACATCACATTCGCTACTGTTATTTAACACACCTCTGATTAATATTCTCCTACCAGGACTTGGAATTGCGTCCGCTATTCATTATTGTACAAGCTTAGCAGAATAAACATGGTAGGGAATCCGCTAAAGAGTAACATATTTATCATAGGATATAACCAGAACATAATGCATACTGGACAGACACAACACTTTCAATTAATGCTAGTTTTGTCTAAAAAAAAAAAAAAAAGAAAACCCAGAGAATTTAAATAAATGTGGACCAAATTTAGACATAGCTGGAGAGAAGTAGCACACACACCCCCAAATTGCAGGTAACCTGGAGGAAAAGCCTTTTTTTTGTTGCATTTCACATAACCAAAACATTTCATACTGGACACACACGAGACTTTTAATTAATGCTCATTTTGAGCCATGAAATATGAGAAATTAAATAAATATGGTCAAACATTAAGGGATCTCAGCTGGCAATTAGTAGCACACGCCTCCAAATTGTGCATCACCTGTAGGAAGAGGCTGCTTTGAGCTGTAGTTCAACAAAAATTTGATTACAGAAAAACAACTTACAGCAAACTGTTTACCCACTGTCTTCGGTGGATATGCTAACTAGCCTTATGTTGTGGTGAACCAGCTGTAGCATAGCAGAGAGCAAGAGGGAGGGGTTGAGCACGAGAGTGAAAGCTAAAGACAGCTTTCTTAGTGAGACAGGCATGGATCAGTATGGATGGGACTGACTGAATATGACAGCATCGTGGGAAAAGTTTAAAGTTGTAAAGTATTTAAGTTATTTTTTAAAAACAAAATCAGATTTATAAAAGTAATGAATTGTTCTGCATTAGTTTCCAAAATGGTCATTTCTGCAAATGTGCGCCAGGAGGCTGAAATGTAAAGTATTTGACTCTGTTAAATCATAATGGTGGAAAATTTCAGTTTTTTTTTCAAACTGTAAAATTTTAAAACCTTTTGTAGCTTTATAACCGGCCCATGAATCGCGACGTCTCTTTAAGATGCGCTAACCTCCAGTGTATCAGCATCGAGACAAGCCAAGGAGAACAAAAGAGGTCACTGCAATATTAAAAAAAAACACAAGAAGTTCAGGTTAAACCAAAGTCAAGTAAGTAAAAAGTAAAAATATACCATCAAATTTGTAAAACTTAGAACATGTAATATTTATATTAAAAATTCCTCTACAAATCCTAAGATGGTGAGCAGCGCTGCCTTTGTTGCCGTCACCTAAAGCTAAACAGTCATGTTGGTTCCCAGACGCTGGACCAGAACCAGCAGCCCAATCAACCGTCAGCGTTTCTATGGGCTGCATCTCTGCAGAGCTTTAATATGTGTTCTCATTCCCTCTGCTATTATTATTTGACTCATGCAGATTATAATCATCTGATATAATTCATAAACAGGCAAACACTCAACATAAATTAGATCCTCTATAGGTAAAAATGTAAAAAGCTAATAAGACAGCAGTTTGTTGAACCGAAGCGAGGAGGAGGAAGTGACGGCAGACGTTCAAATAGCAAGCAGTTCCATTTCTGAGGTGGTGGGGGTGTCCGATTCGATGCTGAATCTTCCAAACTGAAGATGGTTTTCCATTCTTGAAGGAGCTGGGGGGCTTGATGATCCTGGAGGGGGATAGGGGTGAGTGAGGGGTGTCCAGGCTGGGTCACAGTTGGTTTAGTCTAAGAGGACAGGAGGGGAGATCTGCTGCTTCATGGAAGGCAGTTTGTTCAGGTGTCTGTGTGTCACAGAGGGAGGGGCCGGGGGGCAGAAGGGTGGTGGCATGCTGCTTGGTGGGGCAGGAGATTCTCTGCAGGAGGGTCCTTTCCTGCCTCCTGACCCCTCATCTGAGATGCCATCATGTCCTGGGATCAGGACTGCAGAGAGACAAAAATGAAGAACCTGAAAAACTGAGTGGAAGGTTTTGGACAGTGTTTGATGTTTTCTGTGATTCGCTCTAACTAGCCTTATGTTGAGGTGAACCAGCTGTAGCATAGTAGAGAGAAGATTAACAACACTAAGACCCTCCTCCTTAGCTCTGATTGGTTGTTTTTGATTGAATGGTGCATTTCTGCTGATAGTACTGGAAGCACTCCGAAAAATGAGAGCAGTTTGGGTTTTTTTCACAGATTATCTGTCTTATTTTACACTGTTGCGACTTCATGATCATATTTTTATACAATATATTTTTTACAAACATTACACAATTCGGCTTTTATACAAATTTTAAATTGTAATTTAACTCCTTGAAATTGGCGCCTTTACTAAGGCGCCGCCTTTGTTAAACTGTTTACAAAAGTTCTTCGGAACACAGGACTGAAAAGTAGCTTGCAGAATGAGGTCAGAAGACTCACAGTTCCACCAAGTGTTTTCTAATTGCTGCTGCCACTAGTCTGAAGGAGCTGAGGAGGGGAGTCACAGGAAGTCTCAAAGGAGGAGCTTTGTGGAAATAGGTGGAGCTTTGGCACAACCAAGGTTAGACACCCCTGCCCTGAATGGTTGTCTTGGGGTAGGAGTTCAGAAGTTTCTTACTTCTTCCTACTCCTTTTTGAGCATGTTAGGATTAATGTGGTACAAAAAATGTGTCTTCTTTTGCAATCCTTGTTCATGTGTTATTTTATACAGATCATGCTATCATGTTCAAAATAAATAAATAGAAAATGTAGATTAAAGGATTTCTCAAACATGCATAATAGAATCAAGGAAACACTGCAGGTATGTTTTTGATGAGGGAATAGCATTATGAAAAGTTGAATTTACATAATACTGCCCCTTTTTCTGTAACAATGGGAAAAAAGATGGGTGGAATATTTAGACGACAGAACAGAAGAAGTAAAGATGGTCTACCTCTGCTCTCCGCTGCTCCTCTGTGGGAGACTCTGTTTCCCTGATGACCACTGCTTTTGTCACCAACATGTCAGGATGCTGCTGCTTGGCCTCCTGGATCGCCATGGCGAGCGCCTGGAGCCAGAGAAACCCCAGCACACCAATCAGCATCCTCCAGCACTTTCAGGCACACAGAGCAGATATCTCCAGGTCTCAGTCTCTCACCTGATGCTGGTCCACATCGTCGTCTCCTGTGATTATGATCCTCTTCTCGATTCTGGTCTCTGAGTAGCCTCCTTTCACAGTCTGGAGTGCAGAGAACCACAAAGTCAGTCAAAATACAACATCACAATTAATGAAAACTATTCAACCCCCTTTTAGGCTTTTGCATATTTTGCAGATTACAACCACAAACTGGAATGTATTTTCCATTAAAATATGCATAAAACTTTAACCATATTCCCCTAATGTCAAAAAAACTATTTCACAATTGCGAGACCATAATCTTCATCTTCTTTGTTATTTCTGCCTGTAGTAACATCCGGTTAGTGATCACATGTCTTAGGATGCAAAAAAAGTGTTTTCACTGCCGTTTTGCAGAGTACATTAATTTTGACATGGCCAAAAAGTACCTCATCCTAGCGCAAAAGCTTATCAAAAAACATGATTTCTTTTTTCTTTTTTTTTTTTAATTATCATGTTTCCATTGAGCAAATTTATTTTGGGGATTCCGGTCTGTGCAATTATATGGTAAATGGAAACACATTTCATGTCTCAAGTCAAGTTCATTTGACTTTACACCTCACCCTGAAAACATGGTGGTGGCAGCATCATGCCAGTAGAAATTTTAAAAATGAACATCTCACATTTCACATTTCTATTTGTAAAAAATCTTTGAAATCAATCCATTTTCTTTCTTTTATTTTGTACACCACACCACTTAGGTGTGTCATTGTTTCTTGAAACATTTGAACGTGATGTGACAAAATGTGACAAAGTTCAAAATGTTGACTTTGTGTCCTGCCCCACCAATTCATGTCATGTTTTAAATATTTAAACACATCATTTTCTTTTGAGAGCTCAAAACAAATCCTCATTGTTTATTCTTCAAGCAGAATTACAAACGGGTGAAATTATGTAATTATGAATAGCGGCTTGACGTAACAACTGTATCCTGTGTTATCTATGAAACAGATTGCCATTTCATTTCAGAGAAGAACTGTTTCACTGTGATAAAGGTTCAGTAATTGAACTGAAACTGAGGAAACAAACACAGCGTTACCTTGGTAACTTGTGTCGTGGTTGCTGATGTGATGCTTTCAGCTGTGATGGTCAGAGGGGACACAACAGACTCCCTCCCTTGCGGACTGGCTTTTACCTGCAGCGCAGTAATTACAGAGCAGTCAGACCTACATATTCAACTGTCATGCAAAACATCTGCTAGCCAAAAATGATAACATCTGTTATATAATCAGCTGATGTGGTTCACTTTCACACTACACTGTCAAACAAAATAAACCCTTTGAGAAGCCTGTTCCCCTCCTCGCCTGTGGGGGCGTTCCTCCTAGAACCACTGAAGGAAACAATGCTAGAACCACAGAGGAAGACACAGCACAACTTCCTTTTTTATAAAATTTAGACAAAAATGTGGGCATGTGATTCAGATTGTGCTAAAATTGTGACAGAACAGCCAGAAAAGAAGCTGAAAAATGTACTTTTTAGAAAGCTCATTCACGTCATGCGAGTTGTGATGATGACTGACAGTGTGATGGTATTAATCCAGCGTATACAAGATGATCCATTGATGGGGAATTCCAAATCAGTTGCTGAAGTTAAGGCTTTAGCAGTGCTGGGCTAATTTTTCTTTTAGCGCTGAAGTGATTTTGCTAACCACAAAGATTTTGTGCACCTATCTGGCCCAAATTAAAATTTTCAGATCAAATCCAGTGCTAACTTAATTCATTTTCTTGTAATCTTTCAGTTGAATAAAGTGTGTAAGTTTTGGTTATCCACTATTAGTAATTCTACAAATAGGTAGATGTTTTCAAAGAAACAAAAAATGCATAAAGTAAATGAAGGACAACATATGACGTTGTAATGAAATGGTTGAATTTAGTGCAATAGAATTAGCTTCCTCTCAAAACCATATTGACATAGCACTTTAGCATTAGCGAAACCCAAACACAGCCCCTTTTAGACTTGCACTGCTAATTGGATTAGTTGTTAGCCTTGCTTTAGCTTCCAGAACACAATTGTAAGTAAACAAAGAAGAGGGTCAGGTTGACTCAGGAACTGATTTTGTTTTAGAATTTACATAATTTAAAATATTAAGCAATTATAACATACTGTATATGTTACTTAATACAGCTGATGGCCCACTAACTCACTAGAGTTCAGCTTAGTTTAAAGTCAGTCAGTTTGTATCACCTAATCTATCTATAACTAGATAGATTAGGTCTCTAAGATATTTAGATTTTTTTCTCCAGTTCCAACCTCATGTCCAAATATTCTCACTTTTTGGTCCTACAACACCAAAGTCAAACCCAAGGCTTTAAATTGTCCATCTGGATGTTTGGTTTTCATGTTTTACATATTCTTAAATGTGTGTGTGTGTATGTGTGTGTATCCCCTTTTTGTTAAAAGTGATGGTTTCAACAAATAGCAGAAGTAATTGAAGGTAAAGACAAGCGATTGCTCAAAAACAGAACAATTATGCAAAACAATGTGTTAGCTCAAAGTCATTCAAGCATTTATTTGTTGAAATTCATGACCAGAGTCATTATGGTGACAGTAAGCAACAATTGTGTAGCTCACATGAGGTGATTCCTTTGGACACTCGCTCCAATAAAGGTCAAGACTACAGCAGAGGCAGCGCACATACACATAAATTACTGTCAATGTGATGGATGTCCTCTACAAAGACACTTACAGGGGAGCCATTTTCTTTGGGAGCAGCAGGAGTTTCCTGGGAGCTGACAGCTGCAGGGCTCTGAAAGGGAGAGAAAGAAGTGGCTCTGATGAAGGCTTTTTACCAGCACCATGACTGCGCCATGCAAAATGAACAACACTGAAGGACTTGTTTGTTCTCCAAAGACCAGCGCTGATTGTGCAAAAATACATAAAGAAATGAATAATCTGGTCAACATCTAATGATGAAGGGTAGTATATGAATTATATGTATAGTTTTTGTGTCTTTCTATGATTTATTTAAATTATGTAGTGATGCTTTGTTGAGCCGATGGGGAGTATTACAATTTGATGAACTAGTAAAATTTAAGACTGCACAAACAAAATATGAACCCAGATTCTAAAAAACATTCAGAATCTGTTTAAGAAATAAGGTGGGAGATTTGATCCGAGATGGAGATATAACAGAAAAAAAAAAATATATATATATTACTATTATAAGTATATATATATTTATAAGTATATATATATATATATACTTATAAATAGTAGATAATTCTTACAACAAAATCTCTTTTTTATATGTCAAAATAATGTTTAAATGAATTTTGCCAGTTTCAGGTCAAAGTCTTTCCAAAATAACAAAAATAAATCTTGTTTCTGCCATGGATCTATAAGCTTCAGGTGAGCAGCTATTAAGGTTACCTCGGGTCGATACTTGGTGATTTTGGATTGTCAGGTTCTGGGAAATGAAAGGTTTCTAAATGATGCACTATGTTTCACAGATGGTTGGAAGGCTGAGTTCAAAACTTTATGCAAACCTTTTTCCCCCTTTTTATTGTGAACTGTTGATAATGAGACTATTATATCAAAGCTGCACAAAGTTAAGACAGAGTTTGACTCTAAATGGCGGTGCTGTCTTATGCTGGTGTACTCTGCAAAATATAAGTTAATCTAATTATGTTAAGGAATTCTCTTATAAAAAGAGAAAAAAAAATAATTTTAACATAAATCACAAGAAGCCTGATACAAAACAAACTCCAAATGTTTCAAATGTCTAAAGCTCTGTCTTAGGTTTATTGAGATGTGTACATTTTCAAGACAACTAATGTAAAAAAAGGCTGCCTTTAATCTGGAAAGTCCTGTAAAGTGCTGGTAGTTGTTAATGAGCGAGGTGTTTAAATCTCACCAAACATATTTCAGTACATCTAAAAAAAACTTAAACTATTGTGGAAAAGTGCAATATTTCTCACCAGAAATCTCAGAAAATGAAACTCATATATTATGTAGAATATATGAGTAGAATATGTCACCCACAGGCTTTGATTCTTGTAATTTTGATGATTATAATTTATGGAGAATTGAGATGATTTTTTTTGTAACACTTAATGTTTATGCTGTGCAAAAACATGACGTTTTTATCTTTTTTCCTTTTATTTACTCTTCAAAACGTTGCCTGCAGAAATTCAACGGATGTTAAATGGTTGCTTTGTGTCTACAGACAAAGCAACCAGAACTAGATCTAGACAAATGACTATTAGCCAATCACACTGCACTCCTTTTTTCAAGAGTCAAACAGTTAGCTAGTGAATGCAGCTTCCTCGACACACTGGTGTCACAAAATCAAAGGAGAGTAATTTGATTAGGTAAAAGTCATAATTCTGACTTCGAACTCAAAATATTCTAATTCTGTGTTAATAATTGTCAAAATCCAAATGAATAATCAAAAATTCTTAAGTTAGCCAGATGTAAATTATGTTGCTAGCATATGAAAACAATAGCAGCTATTTCTTTCTTGTACTTATCCTCACTGAAAACCTACCCGAATTTTTGTTGGGTAGATTTGAGTTTTAAGATTAGATTTGTCTGATGATTTAAACTGAATTCTGAGAGACAGTGAGAATTCTGAGCTTAAAGTCAGAATTTTGCATTCAATATCAAATTAATAACTTGCTTCCTGTAAAGTGGGTTTAGAAAACCACTTTAAAAATGAAATATTACTGTAATGTTACTATTACAGGAAGAAGTTGGAATTTTGAGATATAAACCTGAATTCTGAGGGAAAAAAAGCTGAATTTTGATATTAAACAGTATAAAAATTAAATGAACATTTATTATTTTAAAAGTCAAAATTCAGAGAAAATCCTTTTTTTTTGTCTTTTTTCAGTGTACCTAAATCATCTTTTGTACATGTGAAGGGTTCTGAAGAGTTCAAGTTCAGACCCTGTTTTGCTATTTGTTATGTATCTAGATTAAGTGAAAATGCCGACATCATAAAACTTTAACCTAAAATGAAATCATATTAATTCTCCTTGTTGTGTTATAATAGTAAAAATATATGATGTATTTGTGGACAGAAGTTTGACTGTGTGATCTACTCAGGCTGTTGTAACGTCCACAAACAACTGATCTTTGTGAAATACCTCCCTCTGCTGGCCACCCGACGTTACTGTAGATCTTTATCTGCCTATAGATTATCTCATCCTCCATTTACTGTGCGCGCGTGCGCGCAGAGCACTCAGCTCACTCCGCCAACCTTAAAGCAATGACTCAGCACTGATGTGGCTCTTCAAAGGGTCCCTCTCTCCATCATCTCCTGAGCACATCCACACCATTAGCTTGAATGGCTAAAGAGCCTGGCCCTGATTACATTTTAATAAGGCACCTGCGGGACAGCCGGTCCGCGCGCACTGCTCTGCTTCCGGAGATGAATGGCAGTCGCAGCTGCTTTCATCCCTCTCATTAATATACTGTCAATACTTTAATCATGCCTTAATGATTCTATTACGCTCCCCATTTCTTTGGGAACATGGCTGCCGTGTCAATGAGCTCCCAGGAAGAGGAAGAAAAAAAGCTATTCTTTCGATAAAGTCCCAGACTTCCACCTAACGCGTCACGCAGCAGTCCTCGCCTGATTGGTTTACTGATGCGAACTGACCTCAGCAGCTTTAACCCTGCCCAAAGCCTAGTGTTGAAGATTTCATTTATAAAATATGTCAGTCATAAATTTATTATTAGAAAAGTAGCACTGTGCAAAACAACTTTCAATTATTAAGGCACAGTTCAAAAATAATTTCTATGTACATTGTGAAGTATTGAGAGGTAAAGCAAAATAAAAGTTTTTCTCCATGTCCATTAGGGCCCTCTGTAGTGTTTAGATCATCCACCATTCTTTTTATTTTATTGATTTCATTTTGGGGAAATAATAATTGAGTTTCTTGACATAGTTTTAGTGACAACCAGAGTTACACTCAAGTGCTGACAATATTCTGAACCACTGAAGTCAGACAAACATGCAAAAAGAATAGAAAGTCATGAAGGGTGGTGCTTTCTCCCTTCCCTGTATGCTCAAAAAATCAAAAATACAACCGTTTTCTGAACAGTAAACACAGCATTATCCAAACCATTAGGGATTACATGTTCATCTGTTATATAAAATCTGAATAGTGGATGTAGAAGGAGAAAATGTAAAAAGGTTCAAGGGCATGTGAATACTTTTGCGTACTTGTGGTGAAACATCTCTGATGTTTTGGTGAACCTCGGATCCGTTGGTGTGCGTCTCCGTCCGGGTGTCGGCCCGCTTCAGCTTGTGGGCCACACTCACCGCACTGGCGTCTTTCCTGGCCACTGGAGGCTGTGGAACGAACACACAGTAAACTTACTACCGACTGCAGACAGTTGTTTCCCCTCGCTATTACAAAACCAAACAAACAAACAAAAAAAAAACACAGTTTGAAGGTACAAACTGTAAAACTTTTCTTTTATTAGGCACTTCATGCAGAAAATAACAGCAAATGACGTAAAGACTTAGTGGAATGTTGAGTTGAAAAAAAAGGAGAAGAAACCAGGCTTTGAATCAAACCGGAAAAAAATGCAACATAATAAAATAGTTAAAAACAGAAAATGCTTATAATAAAACATAGAAATCAGAATGGCAGCATTTCCAGCAAGGCGGGATGAATCCAGAATGTGATGATGAGGATGAGGGATGGTGCCATTCGTCTGTCTACCTCATGATGGGTGCCCTCCTCAGGAAGTCTGTCCTCCATCGGGAACTTATCCCTGGAGCCCATTAAGCGGGCCGAGTAGAACCGGGAGGTCTCCTCAAAGTCCTCCCGTCCGACCTCCGGCTGCCGCTCCCGCTCCCCGAACTCAGACCCGCCCTTGGAAAAATCCTCTGTCCCAGAATGGAGGTCTGTGATGACAGTGAAGTCCACCTCGGCCTCCAGGCTGGACGTGGAGCTGACCGTCATACTGGAGCATTTTCGCTCGATGCCCAGCTGGGTGTCCCTCATGGAGGCCACCGTGTCCCGCTCCTGCTCCTCCTCCGAGGCGAGGCCTGGCTGAGGCCTCCTCTCCCCGGACTCTTTCTGGTGTGAGTACAGACAAAGGATGGCCTCCGTGTTATCACATGACTTTGTTGTGGTTGATGGACATGGTGGGCAGCGCAGTCTTGTAGTTGAACAGGGGCTGGATGATGCATTTGATGAAGAGTCCAAAGACAGAGTGCATGCAATGAAATAAGACCAAATGAAAAATACATGGAATGAAGGATTATCAAATAAGAAGATGGGCCTGAGGGAGGATCCAACACTTAATTTGAAATCAAGAAGCCTGTGAGGTGACATGGGACATCAGACTGGCTCTAAAGAAATTAATTTATAAATAATTTCTCTTTCTCTAATAAAGAAACAACTATCATCCAATGTGAAGAGAGAAGTGCCTATCCAAACAAGATGGCTGTTAATACTGTTAATTCAGTATTTAGAAGCGTGGCAAACACGGACTGAACAGCTCGTTCACTTCCTGCACTTCCATCACTAAAACCACAGGCAGACTACAACTCTAAAACAGTGTAGAAAACGATAACAGGAGAAAACTGTGAAGTGAGGTTTAAATTGAGCGGAATAGCACAGGAAAGCAATGGCTATGATACTGAGATAAACAGGCAGATACGAACTCATACATTTTTTAAGAATTCTTTTGCAGTATACTAATGTAAATAAAAGAAAAAAAAACTAACTGGAAAGGGGAAATAAACGTTGCATAACAGGAACATTGTGCCTTAGATTCCATGCTGGCACTCTTAGCTCTAAATGTGGAGATAAAATGCAGCCAATTGCTCACAGTATGAACTCATGATGGAAATGAATGATAGTAGCGCATTAGGCTGGTTAGACGATGCAGCAGCTCAGCATGTGTTCAGAGGAGCAGCGTGTTGATCTGCTGAGCTTCTGGGAAGCTGAGTAGTAACTTCAGAGGACAAACATGGTACAACACTGCTATCAACAGGAACATAAGTTACTAAGTTATGACTTCTATTACCAGTCAGAATTTCTGTGGTCATATCCAATCTCCAACAACTGTGAAGTTTTGACTTGTTAACAATGCCTTTAGCCTAAAACAATTTCTGCTTAAGAATTATATTACAAAAACTGCAATGCAAACATTTTAATTTCTAACCTTTTCATGTGACTGGTGATTAATTATTAATATTAGGAGCAAAAGGGAAATTGCACATTGAGGGAAATTGATCATAAAGAGGAGATTTGAAAGTAGCTTTAGCATCTTGTACTGGTAATTACCAGGGCTAGCATTTCTAAAACAGCACTCTCTGTACTTACGAGATTATTACCTCTTCTCTGAGATTATTAAAATTCTGTCAATTCTGGCTAAAATATCAAAAGAATAAAACTAACAATACATTCAGCCTTCCTGTTTGCTAACGTTTTGCTTTTTCTCATTCCGTCACACCCAAATTTAACCACAGGTTTGTCTTGCAATGTCATAGGAAACTTGAGTTAGTTACTATTTCCTTTTAAATTGTGTCTGACAGCAACTTGAGTTCATTTTTATACGTCGTACAGGTACTGAGAAACTTTGAGTATTCTGTCAGGCAGCTAAAATAAAAAAATTAAAAAAGGCAACAAAATAGCTTTATAAACTACATCATTTTAGAGGCAACACACATTCACTGCCTGTGAAAACAAGGGCTGTTTCTTATAGCTATTAAAAAGTATTTAAATGTTTTGACAGGAAACAGTTTCCATTGCGGGTTTGGAGGTGTATGTGAGCTAAGAGAGATGGTTTGTAAAAGAATAACCTTTAGGTCACCAAACGGCTCTTCATATATGGCCGGAGTAGAGACAGGCTCCTGCAGGGGGAAGCAAAGGAAAGAGCAAAGGGAGCAATGGAAGGTTAGTACAGCTGAACAGGACCAGCAGCCAGGCAGACACAAAAATCCAAGCGTAGCATAGACTACATGCAGAGTAAACCTAAACTCTGAACTCTTAAATCGAAAGACATTGTTCAACACTTTGCTCAAACACCAATAAATATTCTGTTGTTTCTCATAAGCCCAAGTTTAGGTCTGAGATTCAATCAGATCCAAGTCTGCTACTGGAGACAAATTTCAAGGACAACTTCCCACTACCAAAGCACACAGCACTCAGTCTGGAGAACGGTTAAGAGGTGAATCTGATAAAGAACAAACAGGATCTAAAGCAAGAGTCAGAAGAAAAAATTATGATTTCGATGTGCTGTCTGTAATAGTAGTCACATAAAGGCAGGGCAGCAACCAACATAATCATATGGCCAAGTGACACAACAGGTTGATTGTTAGTGGCTCACAGAATGACGCATTGCTAGCTAGCTAGCAGAGAGTTTACAGATGATCAAGCTGAGTGCCACCATATTAGAGGCATAGTCAAAGTACACCCCCCACGCACACACACACACACACACACACACACACACACACACACACACACACACACACACACACACACACAAGACTTTGTTAAGAAGTTGAAACTGAAAAATTAATAGCACATCTCATATACCTCCTTGGTAGCAAGAGAGACAGCAACATAGCTAGCATGTAGATTGCAAAGAGATAACCCAGGAGTTATCAAAACTTTTGCAATGAGAGCCAAAATTGTCCAATTTGTGGGGAATCAAAAGAAAAAAAATCTTGCGAAAGCTTTATAACTACATCTATAAACTATAAACTACATCATTCTTAATTTTTATCTGTTAACACAAAATACACAAAACATGCAATATTTTAATGAACAAAATATCGGTACATTTTAATAGAAAAATAACATATAAATTATTGTTGATCCAAAACAAAAGTAATTTAATATCGCCATTGTAATTTTCAGTTTTTGGTGGGGCTGAGTTATTTAATTTTTTAAATTTTTTAGAGATTTTAATTTTTTTCTAATGTAGGTATGATTTTGTGAAAAATGTAATGAGATAGTACTTTTATATATACAGTAAATTATTGGGGTTTAATACATCATAAGGATTGAAGTGTAAACATGGGAAATAAAACAAAAATACTAAAATGATTTGTGATCAGAGGCAATACAAAATCCTTCACATGGCCACAGATGTTCCCTGGGGCACATGTTGGACACACCCTCAGAACTGGGAATATGTGGCATTGTTTTTTCTCCTACACAAACTTCTACAACTCCTAGTTTGTTCTGCCAGCAACAGCAAGTCTTAAGTTTCAGCAACAATCAACCAGTGTCATTTTTTCCATGGGATCCAGTTGGTTGCAAAGCTTTGAAAGTCAGCAGAAAATCGAACAAGTGCCCTACAAATGTTGCTGAATGTATTTTGAAATCTGTGAGAATGGCCTGAGCCATATGTTCAGATGGAGCTGCCTCTATTTTCCCACACTCCCTGAGTTCAATCAGATCTTGATATGATCGTTACAGCGAGAGCTGAGCAACACCTCTTCTCATCCCGGCTTAATCCATTACGCAAGAGCTCAACTTGGATGAAAAGGTGGAAAAAGATGAAAGCTGTCATGTCTATTCTTTTCCAAATTCATTCCAGAGCCAAATTTGTGCAAACTCCCGATGATGCAGCGACAGTGGAATGAAAAGCAGGAAATCTGACTTAGTCAGGCACTGAACTGCTTTGTTTGGCTGCTCACTGCCTACTGAGGTTTCACATTCACATGATAGAAACATATCGAGGTATCCATTCATTTCTACCACAAGTCTTTCCATTCAGCTGAGGTTGAAGGAAATAATTGCCCAGAATGTGCAACATTGCTGATTTTCACACTTTTTAAAAAAATCTGCGGATTCTTAAAATTTGAAGTTCAGATTGACATTAGTCTGTACAGTTAAATCATGAAGAATTTCAATCACTTTCCATGCATTCTATGCTAAGTGTCTTTCTAATTTCTGAAAATAATAGCTTAATCCCCCCCAAAAAATGTAAGTAGTTTTCAAATGTGCATATTATTGAATTTAATCAAATTTGCAATTGACTGTTTTGCCTTTTGTGTTTGAAGAGGACATAAAAGGTATCAGAGACAGTCGTAAACCTTCAACCCTTCCGCGGTCATTTGGATCCTGCTAGCTTTTTACTCTGTCCTTGTCTCAATTGGGACAATGTAAAATGTAGACGCACAACCGCATGTGCTTTGACAAGACTTTTGTTTGTGTTGTTTCAGGAACTGACGATCTGAAGGGTCACCCTCCCAAACATCGCACTAAGACTGCGGCAGGGTCAAGTAAAACTCAAGGTTAAGTTTTAAAAGACAAAGATATATATGTCTTTTGTCTTTCCAAACCTTCACAGTCAGTGCAGATATGGCAGACATGCTGCAGTGTGGTGCATGTCAAGAGAAATGGAATAGAATAAACTGGATAGCCATGTAGGACATTGTCCAAACATTCCGGCTAACCTTCAGCTAGCCCTTAGTGCATGCTCCTTCAACAGCCACAAACAGGTAAGATGGATGAGAGTGTCAGATCACAAACTGTTGAAGTAAATACATGGTGTACGAGTTTGTCTGAAGCTCATGCTTTATCTCCAATGAATAGTAGATGCCAAGCAGAGTTACCGAGTGTCTCTTCTTGGCTGCATCCAGGCTCTGCTCCCTGCCGGCATTTCTGCTATTCCTCAGAATTAGTCCGGATTCCTTGGCTTTCTGCGTTTTCACTGGCGGAGCTGGCGGAACCATTTTGGGAAGCGCTGAACCCTTTAAACTAAACGGCTGGTACTCCATAGAACCTCTACTGGTCTGAAAGCCTTCGTCAAGATTTTCCGGTGTGGTGAAACCCTCCAGGTCTCCGGGGAAGGCCGGATGGAAGCTAGAAGTGTCAGTCCAGTGGAGGTCAGAGGTTCCCTCAGGAGAACCGACCGACCAGCGATACTCTCGTTTGACAAGCCGCGTGAACTCTTCCTGCCCCAGGTGGTCCCTTTCATCCTTACATGCGACACTCTTTGAGCGCTCTGGCTTCAGAGGGACAATCCTGGTGATCTCTGACTGGTAGCTGCTACCCGACAGCCGGTGGAGAGACGTCCTCTGACTTCTGTCACCCAAGAAACCTTCAACGTCCTCACCACCAGAGCTGCTGACCTTTCTTTCATGTGTTCGGACTTGTCGAAGTTTTACCTCTGCTAGCTCTTTGTTGTCGATGAGGCCCTTTCCTCGTACCTTCACCACATGTTCTACTTTGCCACTAGGAAAAGAACTGTCATGTTCTATTTTCCCTGGTCCATTTAACATGCCTAAATCAATGGTTGCCATTCCCATCTGATTGACCTTTCGCTTCACCTGCTCTACTCTGTGACTGGAAACCTCTTTGCCCTCTCCAAATTCCTCTTTCCTGTTGTCTTTGCATACACCAACAAACTGATCCTTTGTTAGTGCCTGATTGTCTTTCATCATGATCACTGGGGAGGCATCGCTCTGATCTCCCCTTTTAGATGTTTTTTCTGATGTGTTGTCCGAGTCGGAGTCTTCGTTTTCCTCTCCGGAGGAATTGCTCCTGTTGAGCTCTGCAGGAATACCCACATTCAGGCTCTGGGGCCGGCCTTTTTTTCTCAGTTTAGAGCCCATCTTCTCCTTTATCTGGCGTGAACCTGGAGCTTCATCACTGTTTGCCTCGGGGCCTGAGGCTTGAGAGAGTTTACTTTGAGATTTGTCTTGTAACCAGTCTACATTCTCGAATAATTGAATCGCAGAAGGCCAAGTCTCGGAGCATACAGCTGCCTCTCCAGGTGTTCTTGCTGAGGGAAATTCGTCAATATGGCTTTTCACTTCTTTCCTGTTATACCCTGCTTCCTCTTTATGTATCATTTTGGTAATGTCTATCTCCTTTTCCAGCTCCTTTTTCTCCCACGAAGTATCGGATATGTGAGATTTGTTCTTTTCTTCTGCCCTCCAGTCATGGTCTGGTTGATAAGGTTGCTGTTTTTCAATCAATACCCACTCCTCAGAGCCCTACATGTTGGTATAGATTAAGCACAGTTAGACATTCTGGGTACAATTGCTGGCAAACAATAAAATCTACAAAATGGTCTCCATCTCATAAATGGGTGTAAAGCATGCAGCTTATGGACAAAAACATTTCAGTTACATGGAAATGCTGCTTACTGAACTAGAATATTGTCCAAAAGAAATTTAATTCAGTAGATAAATTGTATATATTTTATAATTATGGCTTACAGCAAATGAAAAGTCAAAATTCAGCTTCTCAAACAATCAAAATATGTAGTATGAAATTTCCATCCATGTACTGTATCGCACAAGCACTGAATAATTGGTCGGGGCTCCCTTTGCATAATTAGAGAATCGTTGAAGAATTACATGATGGGAACCAGACCTTGGCCCAGCTAAAGTGTTAAAGGTAAGTTATGGTAAAATTGACATTTTTGACATAATGACATACCATCTAAACATACCTGGAATATTGCCTTGGTTCTTTAATGCATGTTTGAGAAATTCTTGAATCCTCAGAGGCAACCATTCAGGGTGAGCCTAAACATTTGCTCTCACAAAGTCTCGCCTATTTCCACAAAACTCCTCCTTAGTGCAGCAGTCTCCAGCCAGGCTTCCGCCTCACAGAGCAACCCCCCAGACTGGCAGTAGCAGCTTTTTTCCAACAGATTATGGAATTATGAGTTTGCTGAACTCATCATATGAACTACTTCTCAGTGCAGCATTTTCATAACAACTGAAGGTAACAGTACATTCGGGTTTGGTGTGTTTCCTCCTCGTCCTTACAATATAGGTCTCTAGGGTTCCAGCACAGAGCTAGTATTGTCATTAAACCAGGTATCTGTACTATCAATCGTTTGTATGTCGTGGTCGGCTGGGGGTTATGCTTGTGACATCATGAAGTGCTCTAATATTATATAATAAATAGCTGAGCTGACTTTAAACTCCTCAAATCATCCTGAACTCTGAAAACTTAACATTGGACTCAGGCAACTTGGATCCTGTCTCGTCACTCTTCCTCCAGGCTGTGGTGGCTCTTGAAGCACCAACCTCAGCAGCAGTCCATTTCTTGTGAATCACCTCCAGAATTTTGGGATAGAACACTTTTTTCTTCCACTTAGTTTCCCATTAAAATTCTTGGAGAAGCATTCGGAACACCTGGCTTCTTAGGCAATGTGGTTTATCTTCGTTCAGCAGGATGTCAATGAAATGATTGTCTGCTGGACAAGTTCAGCTGTCTCCTGTTAGACTGCATAAGCCACAACATGGACATACACAGTAACATCAATGTCTGGTAGAAAGTTAGTGGAAAGTTCAAACCCGCTTTGGCTCCATCAGGTTAGTCCACTCCTGTCTGCAGAGAACCCATGCTTGATTATATCAGACCGGTTTCTCTGTGTGCCGACACGTTGACGGCGAGCTCAAAGAGGTGGATCATGTGGTCGTCACCGGTGACTGGTAAATTTTTTGCGTTGGTTTTATGTAATAATTTGTTTGGGAGGAGCTGACTTTAGATTTTTAATTAGCCGTATGCCATAATCCTCAGAATTGCCTAAATATATGACTGAATGTATTTTTTCTTTACACAGTGTATAAACACTGTGTAAAGAAAAATTTGATTTACTACAATGAGGAAACATTTCAGTTGTTTCTCATGTAATCATATTTACTTGTATTAACTGTGCAGTATAAACAAGTGAGAAAAGGTTGGAACTGGAGCATGCTGAGACGTGCTTTGCATGGTCATCACTACAAACAGTAAAGTGTTTCGTGAAGAGGAGCAGTGAAAGATGTGGAACCTCAGGTGAAGTGACCAGAGCCTTCTGGACGAAGCCCTCAACAGAAGGGCTGTTAATAGCATCTTTTCCCACTGAACGTCCCCCCAACTGGCCGACACGCAGCAGAGGAGAGAAAGAAGAACAACAGTTAGAGGTCATCATCATTTCATGCAAAAGGAGGAAAATAGAAACAGCAGAGAGAGTCAGTGTTTCAGTGGCTCAACCGACCCTTCAGACTCACATCTGTTCAGATCTGTTAATGGCCGCTAATGGTGGGCAAAAAAAATATGGAGAAAATTTGACTTATTTAAATCCAGGCTAAGTTAGCCCATTTGAACCCTTGAACTGCACTTATAAATCCATAATCTTTATGGAACCAGAACTTCACCCTGCTTAGCATCAACTGAAACCAAACAGTAGAGCACAGAGGTAGTGAGAAGAGGGTCTTGATCTTTTAAAAAAAAGCTATGAGCTATACCGTAATAATGGATAACCTGTCAGCTGTTACTTTCAATTTTAATACATTATCTTTGCGTGGATCTGTATTCTGTTTTGAGTATAGGACCGTTGTATGCTGATGTCCCCATTGGGGACGTCTGTGCTGCTTTAAAATTAGCATTGCAATGCTATATTAGGTTTGTACAGCTTTGCTGATAGGCTAACTCCTTTGAGCATTACTGGAACACAACAATATTGTTGTCCAATGTCCAATCAGGTCGTTTTTTTAAGCAAAAATAATCCCCCAGTTGGCCAAACGAAGCAGATTTGTTGCCAGTTGTTAGCAAATGTCACTCGTGTGTCGGATTTACGGTGCCACCAGGAATAAGATACAAATGATCCAGTTTTTTAGCATGAAAAAAGAATTGATTGAAAATAGTAGCTGATTAATTGCATTACAAATTTAATACATTAAAAATTATGTAATGAATTAATCAAACTGGAAAGATTAGTCCTAGCCCTAAATATTACATATATATCACAACCCTCTCAACTCAAAAACAACCAAACGAACACTGCTTCTCTACTTCAATTAAACTCCCCACAATCCTTTGCTGCATCACCACTACTGTCACATTACCAAACACACCATATGGCCAGCACCCTTCCAGAAACACATATTGAAATGACAACAAGTTGGAAATAAGCAGAGGTTATTGATATTATAGCTCAGTTTTACTTGATGACTTACATGAGCAATTTTAATGCTGATACATTGAGCACGATGAAGATGAAGCCAGGCTAAGCAAAGCTCCATGAGTTTAGCTTACTGCTAGCTTTCCAGGCTTTATCTTCTGATAAGTGACTACATAAAATATGATTGCTAGTCACACCAAAAGAATACAATTTTCATTGAGAATGAGAGAACTGCTTATTCATCATCATTTCATTCTCGAAGTACGTTTGCTGGATTTGTCACAAGTGGTTACATAGAGCTGTGAAAGGATGGATGAATCAGCAGCTCTGGAGAGAAGTTGAGAGTGTTTTTCACAACAATTGGTCAATTCACCGGAGTTCTGCAAGACTTCACCTCCCCCACAAAGCCGTCTCATGTCAGTGTGTGACTACAGTTTGGAGCAGTTGTGTCCGCTCCCCTACAGCTGTCTTCGAAAGGATCTAGAACAAGAGATTTTGTTGCCACACCGATTATCTCTGTCATTTTACAGCCTTGTTGTGAATGCAGAACAGGCACTGGTAACAGTATTACCAAGGCAGCACAACACTTTTCCAGACTTCCTCTAATTATCATTGCATAATACTTTGACAAGCATTATGCACAGAAATGCTAAACATGAAGGAGATAATAGATATGGCATCAAAATCCCTTGTTCTAGATCCTTTCAAAGACAGCTGTAGGGGAGCAGACACAATTGCTCTGGACTCCTGTTACACACCGACGTGACACGGCTTCGTGAGAGACAGGAAGTCTTGTAGAGATTTGGAGAGCTCTGCTCAGAGATTAAAAATTTTCTCCTAGTTACAAACTGTACAAAATAAGAGCAAATTAATGAATATCAGTGACTGCTCAACTTGGCAATTTTACCTAAATGCCTCATGAGCTACAAGGAATTTCTAGACTTTGCTTTAATGAAGTTGGTCATTCTTGTGTAATGACATGAGGAAATGGCTACCTCTATGACAATAACATTCAGCTCTTCTTAGGGAAAAGCCTGTCTTTTCCCAAAGTAAGGCTTGAAGATTATTTGTCAAATAAACTATTCCACTGTTATAGATTATTACTGAACTGACAGGTTTGTAAACTTTCAGTTCAATAAAGTTTGCCATCTGTACTGAAGTTTTGGTTATAGACTTTAAAACATTTCCAGGTAGTTATAGACCTTTATGTTCATTCTCTTTCTTAAGAGAATGAACATAAATTCCTTACTTTCTCTCCTTTTCCCCTAATAGCCTTATTTCAAATATAAAACAGATAAGAATGAAATAAAACATGGAGAGTAGAGAAGAAGGTGTATACAAAAAGGCAATTAAATAAGGGCATCAAAGAAACTGTAAATCACATATTCAAAATTAAATTGGGGTTCGAGGCTTGAAGTCTTTCAAGGGCATAAAAAGTCTGAATTGAAGTTAGCGCTTTAGCATTAGTTTGCACTAAATAACATATTGGTGCGGTGCTTTAGCTTAACTAATGTTTATGATTAGCACAACCAGTGTTTTAGTTAGCATTGCCCACCACTGCTGTAAGGGCTCATGCAGTTATCCATATATTTTGTTGTAACATTTACTTTGAATATTAAAAGATATTTAGTGTTTTTATAATTTAGCGAGGTCAATCGTTTTACAACTATTCAACAAATATTTAATTATAGCTGAATGGATATTGAATACATTTACTAAAGGAACTCAGTTGGTGTGTGAAACACTTTTAACCCATTTTAAATAAGAGAATAAACATAAATGTCTATAACTACCTGATTCTGAAGTGTAATAAATTGCACTTCAGAATCAAACATGCAATCATTATGTATCTGATAGATTCAAAAAGCACAGGAATGAATTCATCAGACATTATTTTTGTGAAACCACATCAAAGAGCAGAGTCTAAAAAGTGTAACAGATCCAAGCAATCTCCTCACAGTGACACAGGAACGCTGGTGCTTCTCTGGCGCGAGGCGCACTACTGATTGCATTTTCTACTGCAGACAATATTTGACATTTCTCCAGCTTAATCTGATTGATACAGACGCCGGCATCCGATTTCCAATCTCCGTTTCCAGAATGGGATAAAAGCTTAAACAATTTTTGTAATTTGGCAGAAAGAACACTGTCGCTAATTAGCAATCAAAGGCCACAGATTAAGTACCATCCACAAATATCTCTGAGATATTTAAGGGATTACACCTGGAACTCTTGAGAAACACAAAATACACTGAAAGTGAAATGTGCCCGATTGATTGTGTAGGTGTAAACATCTCCGCAGAGGGAGAGAGAGCTATTTGAAGTGGATGCAGGAAAACTCAAGCTTTGCTAACCTTGTTAATTCTCCTTGACAGTTTTCTACACTGTTTAAATCACATGAATGCACGACTCAAACATGAGAAGTGCAAGTGATTTTATGTGATAGACAAACACAGAGTGTTGAAGTGGCCAGAACAATTTGATGGTTTTCATTTTTATAAAAAGAAAATCAGAGAATTGTGAAATGCTTTTGTATCAAGCATTACTCTGATACCCCAAAAGTGAAATCCAGTGCAATCAATTACCAACTTTGACAAAGTTGGCTACTCATATGACTTCTTTGGAAAAACAGGTAGCACACAGCCAGAGCTGCAGTGGAATGGTTAGAAAAAAAGCAAAGAATGTTTGTTTCAGAAGGGCCTAGATAAAGCCCACAGCTGAATCCATTTGAGAATCTGTGGCAAGACTAAAAGATAATTGATGCTGTAATCCCAGAAGTAGTATTGACAGGGGGAGTTGAAAACTACCACGGAATATTATGGCCATACCAAGAACAAATTAAATATTTAAAAAAATAGCAACGACCTTTCTCAGAGAGGGTCAAGTGTTAGAATTGGCAGCCACAGAGCAACCCGATCACCACCCTTACTCACAGCCTTCTTCTCTGGCGTTCCCGTCGGAGACGTCGCAGAGAGATGCTTCTCTCTGGCCATCAGCTTGCTGTTGGGTTCCCTCAGGGCCCTCTTCAGCTCATTGATGCTGGCCTGGTGCTTCAGCAAGACGTCCTGAGATTTATCAAGAAACTGGAGAACACCACAAGACAGAGGTCTTAGCAGGAATTCACAATGCCTTGCTTTAAACAATAGAACTCACACTAGCAGGAAAAGGCGGGGAGACAATGCTGCGTATGCTGGAGTGTGCACCAAAAGATCGGCTTAAACTCGGGCTGAGAGGAGATTATTGCTTGTGTTTCCTCTATTGTGTCTCTTTTAATGCTACTGAAGCCAAGACGAAACCAAAAGAAACACACACAAAAAAAAAAAACAATTACAGTTCCAGCTGAATTACTTGTAGAGATACAAACAAGCATTTTAATCAAGCTCTCGCTCCATAGTTCATGAATGATAAAATGAATATGAAACATCTATTAATTTGCTTGCTGATTAAAATTCTGCTTCCTATTAAGGTTTTGTTCGGTTTGTTTGTGTGTTTGGAGTGATGACAGAGTCAATGATGCAGTCATGTACCGCCATAATTTAATACTCTCTTGAGTCCTGACATTTTTCACAGTTCTGAGTGAAATGCTCCTTAACCAAAGTTTTTTTTTATTTCTCTGGCAGTTCCATAATTATTTTAGTCATTCAAGGAGAAGTTGAGAAATTGTCAAGTGTGTCCTTGAACACTTTTTGACTTTTTGTACATGAATGTATGTCTATTTATGTTTCATATTCAAAGTTTGTCTTAAGAATGTGCATTTGTTAAATCTAACCACTTGTTTGAAGGTTGAATAAGTTAAACTGTTGATACTTCACAGACACTTGAGCAAAATATAACACATCCTTCTGTACTGGAGGGCTGGATGCAATAAATTCTCAGCAAGTTAGAGACAGAAGCAAAAGCTGTATGAAAGGCAAACATCGCTAGAGCCAAATCCATGGAAGATGTACCTCCTTTTTGTGCCGAGGAGTGGTCTCCTGGTCCAACTGAGAGAGCTGAGTTGGGGCAGGAGAACAGGCGTGCAAGAGATGAAGAGTGTAAGGTCATACAGTGAAAGGACAAGGTGAAGAAACAAGATGGACGATCAAGGAGATGCGGAGGAGATGGGTCTGATGTCTTAAATATTAAAGTGATTTGAGAGGAAATACATTTTGGAATGTGAGACAAAGGAAAACACAAAGACACAACAAAAGACTTCAGATGGACACATGAACCACTGTACAAAAGAACAAGTCAGGACAGTTTTATATGAAATGTTGACTAAGGTTTTCTAGACGTTGAATGCTTTCAATGAACATGGGTTGCTTTTCCCTGGGCATTCTAGTTATCCTGGTTATCTTAATAGAAATGATTAACAGAAATTTTGTACAAGTTCAAGTTGGTTCAAATTTAATTGAAATAAACTTTATGTCATTGAACACAGGTCAACTAGTCTGCCTTTAACAAGGTACTGCCATAGGCTAGAAATTCATTTTTGCTATTTTGTTAATTTCCCATTTTTCAGTTGTGTGTAATAGGCAATGTTTTGTTTTTGTCTCCCTTATGGAAAATGTAAGGTATTAAATATTTTTGGTGGTTCGTTGAGAGGAAGTCTATGAAAGCCTAAAACAAAACTTTTCTGTTCTTTCAGCTAGTGATGGCATCTAAAGATCAGTTCATCAGTGGGTTCAACCAGCAGAACCTGGTTGATACCAACCATCTTAATCCAGTACAACCAGTACCAGGAATTAAGACTAACTGGTGGGACTAGATTCAATTTTTTTAATTATGTTAATTAGAGTGTCTGTGATCATATATTGTAATAAATTGCACTTGAACCTAGAACCGAACTTCTGCAAACTAAGCAATATTATTGATCCAAATGCCAGTTTGGTGCTAAATTGTTCAATGAATAGACATAGGTCTGCAGGATTGGACTGAACTGACTGCTTTTTGTGTAAAGCGCTTTGAGGTGAGATGCATGTAGAAATAAACTTAAACTGAAATTGAAATATAACACTTCCCACTCCATTTTCATGCAGCTATAAATTACAGTCGTTATGTGATGACGCTAAATTCTTTCACTGATGCTTTTCTTGAATTTCTTACTCGCAAAGTGGAAGGTAAACATTTACGGGCTGAAGTAGAGTCTGACAAATTTACTGATGGATAGTTGAAAACATCATGCAGACCAACAAACAGACACCAAATACCTCCTGTTTACTGTCAGCTGGGGAGCCAGCCTCCTCCTTATTGACAGCAAGGGTTGAAGAACAGAGAACGAGTGTTAGAGACAGAAGGCCAGGCTGCAGCCTGAGAAAGAGTTAATGCTGTAGTATGTAACTTTTATTTTTAAAAATACTTTTTTAAATACATAAATATAGAGGGAAATGAAGCTCCTTTGCCTTCTTCCACTGCTACCAGTGCTAACTAGAAATAACCAATCAGAACCAAGTGGAGGCGGGTTTCAGTACTGTCAATGATCCCAGTTCCCAATGAATGCTAAGGCAAGTTAGCATGGCCACTGATAATGGCAGATAAACACTTTGCTGTAACAGTGAGTTGTTTCCCTGCCATTAGTACATTTAGTAGCATGTTCATTTAGTGCAACTAAGCCCCTCCTCCTGGCTCTGATTGGTTGTTGTTGGTCAGGAACTGAACTGCAGATGGAGGAGATCTATCTTTTCACAGATTATCTGTCTCATAACATGGTGACAGTTTTAGAAAATATTTTAAAAAAAGAAAAAAACCTGGCTTATGTGTTAGCCAGATTTATATGGAGTACAGTCAAGGCATGAAAGCTGAGAGAAAGGAGTGAAAGGAGAAGAGTTAGAAAAGAATAGCATTAGTCTAGCAAAGCTGCTTCTCACCTGAGTTGAGTGAGAAGCTTCTAATTCTGCTTGTATTCAAATCATCACCTCAGCAGTTTCTGTCCAGCTCTGCACTTCAAAAAGCCAGAGTTGACTTGAAACTAGCTGAACTGTCCTCACCCTGATTTCCCTCTTTCTGCTCGGGGTGGTGTTGCTGTCCTGGTCCTTGTCCTGCTCCATGTCCTGGCTCTGATCTGGGTCCCTGTCGTCCTCGTCCTGCTCCAGGCTGGGCTCCAGCTCCTGCTCCTGCTCCTGCTCCTGCTCGTCCACCGAGGGGCTGCGGAGGCGCCGCTGCTCGCTGGCGCTGCGGCGGGACAGACCGTCGTGGTTCTCGCACATGGATGACACGGGCCGCGAGAACTCTGCTTGGATCAGAAAGGCCAAGGTTTCAAACAGGAGAAGCCAGCTAGCTGCAGCTATTAGCTATCTGAGCTCCTTCATGTTTTATCTCCATATTTTGTAGTACTGTTGTGATCACAGTAAAAGTGACATTAAGAAATATTTTTATGTCTTTTTATGTAGCTGTATCAAAATAAAAGTGGCTGAATAAAAACCACATCACTGTAAAAAAAATAGTCTGTATTACTTTCCCCCATCTTCAGTTTTGTACTATTTTGTGTTTGCTTGACAGAAAAACCAGATGAACCATCTCGTAGTTTGTGGCAGAAGCTATGAATGACCCTGCGCTGCATCTCTCCTTTGGTGCTTCATGAGGCAGAGTTACTCACCACCATCCAAGCTCCTGGACAGCAGGTACCTCCTGCTGGCAGAGCGCTCAAAGTGAGGCGCTGGGCGGTCAATGAGGGCGCTGGCCTGTCTGGTCTGAGCCTGCGTCCTTCCACTGTACCGAAACTTGGAGCCCATCACCAAGAAGCCCTTAGGAGGAGGCTCTGGAGAGACCAGGCTGTGGAAACAAAAAACACAACAGACAGAGAGAGCTTCAGAACAGAACACTTGTAATGTTAGAAAGAAAGTGGATATCAAGGCTAACTGTATTTTCATTGTCTGAACTACAACATAAACAGTTCACTACTGACAGCAACAATATTTTACTTCAGTAATGAGTTCTGCTAACAAATCCAGGGAAATTCTGGGAACTTCGTCCCAAAATAAATAGAAATAGACACTTTCATGATTGCACATGATGCAATAAGCAATAAATCAAGTAATTGTAAGAGAAATTAAAGCACACTCAATAACAGTCATTTATGTGATCTATTGTTATTTTCTTTCCACCAAGAACTGGACGATGGAAATCTTCAGTCCGGTATTTTGGTTTATACTAGAACTTATTTTGAAGGACAATTTTATTTTCAGAAACTTCATAATTCATTCCATTTGTTTTCTTTGTCGTATTGCTTGTTTATTTTGGGTATTTAAAATGTCTTCCAGTTTCCGCGTTAAACATTCATTAGTATTTGAATTTTATTGATCTTTGAGAATGTGATCTTGCATTATGTCATCACCATCATAATTCTGAAAAAAGGTCTCAAAACAACAATATTATCGCAATAATTTCTTAGTAAATTTATCCTCTAGCAAAAAGGATCAACACCTATAAATGCCAGAAGTTATTTATTGGAAGCTTCCTACAAGTTTGAGCTTTTAATGTGACAAAATGTGAACGTATTCAGGAGTGTGAATACTTTCCCCAAGGACTGTTGGTGCAGAAACCCTGATGAGAAATGAATCTGAAGTGTTTTTCTCACCGGAAGAAGGTATGATGCTCGATGCAGACCTTCCACAGTCTCTTGGCGGCTCTGTGATTCGGAAGCTTAAACCCGATGGTGCTTTCAAACTGCTCATACTGGACGGGACAGAAACACCCAGACACACAGAAATATGAAGCAGAGGTCAGGGTTGGATCAACATGAGAGAAAATTCAGAAACTGTATTAGCATCTGTGAAGAAAGGGTGAAAAGAAAAGTTCAGAATGTCCTGGGTAAAAATGTATTCCAGCTGCAGCAGCTCTGCTGAACGGCTTCTTTATTTGGCTCCATCTTAGGCTCACTGTGCAGCCCCACTGCTTGGCTTGACATTCATATCTGCTACGGCTTCCAAACATTCAGGACATGTTTATGGTACAAGTATCTGGGAAGTCTGCAGACTCATTCTAACATGGCAGCTTTTGAAATGAAAAAAATTTCTGAAAAGTCAGATCTGCAACAGGTCACAGTGAATCCGATTTAGGGATGCACAATATTTGACAAATATATCATCATAACAATGTCACTGTGCACAGTATTCATATCACAAAGGACTCTTTGGAGAGCAATAGTTCAGCTATGGAAACAATGAAGAGCCCACTGCACTGAACCTCCTGGTTATTCCACCAAATATTGATTTCTGAACTCTTCCGGAGTTAAAACATTAGTATTGTTGTTTCTGAAGGAATATGAACTGGTTTTCTTTGCATCTTTTTTGTTGTTTTGACCATTTCTCAGTTTTTGCATGAAATTTCAGAGGCATGCTGTCAGTAGTTCATAGAATAAAAGAGCAATGTTTATTTTACTCAAACATACATACGACAAGTAAAATCAGATAAACTGATTATTTTAAGTGGTGCCTTAATTTTTTCCAGTGCTGTAGCTGGAAGTTGTGCTTTTCATGTTAATGCAATATTCAGCCAGTAGGAGTCTCGCAGCAAGAAAAGCTCATTCTAGACACAAACAAAAGGCAAGAAAAGAAGAAAACAAGCATCTATTGGACCCGATGTCATCACTGCAATACTTATCAGTACAGGCATATTCAATAAATGAAATATGTATTCTGATGAGACTAATTTTCCAGATAAAAAGTACCATTTGAAAATAACCTTCAAATGGCTATTAAACATACTTTTAAATAAGTCATCATCTGTGCATTATAAAATAATTTTTTTATTTGTCTAATGTAATCTAATTTTAAATGTCATGTTTTTGGTAGCTATAATTATAATTATGAAAAACAAAGGCTGGAAAACACCATCGTATCAGTAATTCATCTTTAAAATGTGCTTCACTTGGTGATGAAGGTCCTGGAATAAATGGACCATTCAGTAATATTTAAAATTTATTGAAAGCAGCCACATTCTGAATTACCTGAAATAAAGTTCAATTGTCCTTGTAGGATTTTTATCTGAGTTTTTCACTTTTGCATCGTTGAGTTTGAGACACCATCTGCTGATAGAGTACAATGCATCAGAATGATCTGATAGTTCAATGTTTGGGTGTCAGGGATAATTTTCCAGTAGTTTGTGGAAAATAAGTTTTCTACACAAGTTTCAATCAACTGATCGTTGATTTGAAACGTTGTCATTCAAGTGCAATTGAAACACTTTCCATTGCACTTTTCCAAACACTGCAATGGATCGTATGATGACATCATACATTACAACTGGTAGAAAAGTAAAAGAAGAGGACGGTCATTCTATAAAATCAGTGACTTTAATTTCCCCAAAACACTGCATATCAAGCCCCTCCCAAGTAGGTGGGGCTTGTCTCTCCAACACCAACGTCTCCTCTCATTGGCTGAAAGATTCATGACTGAATTTAACTGCAACTCAAGTAACTGTTTACATCTGTCATTGCCATGATTTTTAATGACTTATTGTGTGATAAAGAATACTCTTTGTCGAATACAGAATACATAAAGAGGAAATGGGAGAAAGAAATGAAGACAACAATCTCACAAGAGGACTGGGAGGAAATATGTCAATTGCAATGGGTCTCGACCGGATCAAATACATGGCGGGAGTTTTGCTGGAAAAACATTACATAATTTTTTGTTACATCCATTCAGAGAAGATATCAAAGCAATGGGAACTTCTGCTGGAGACTTTGTGGGTTTAACGGTGCCAATCATTTCCATATTTTTTGGGACTGCCAGGTAATAAGACCATATTGGGAAGAGCCCCATAAACACATTGAAAATATATTTAATGTGAACATTCCATTTAAATGTGAAACGATGTATCTGGGCAACTTGCGGTTGGACAATTGGACCAATTCAAACAAAAAGCTGCTGGCTATCCTACTGGCAGCCAGTAAGAAATGCATCACCAGGAAATGGCTGAAACAGGACCCACCTTCTATGGATGAATGGATTGAAATTGTTTATCGGATTTATGCTATGGAAAGGATTTCTTTCTCCCTTCAACGTGAAAAAGGTAAATTTTATAAGATCTGGACCAAATGGACTGAGTATGTAAAACCAATCAGATCAGACTTTACTTGATTGTTCTTGTGAATTATGTGTACTACCCTTCAATATTCTTGAGATCATCTATTGCTTGAAGTGGTGCAATTCCCAATTTTTATTTATTTATTTATTTTTATTTTTTTTGTTTCGTTTTGTGTGCAATTTTGTTCAAATTTATTACCGTTTACAACTAAGACTTAAAAAATACCAGAAAGGCAATATGGACAAAACCACCTGGATTCCATGCTTTCACCACATGTACGACCTCAAATGGGTAACGCTATAATTATTGTATGTGATGGAAATATGTCTTTCTAAATAAAAGAAAAAATAATAATAATAAAAAAAAGAATACTCTTTGTCACACAATAAGTCATTCTTGGTCACACTTACTGTGTGACAAAGTATTGCGAAATTTCGCAATTTCAAAATTGTGTTTTTCTGACAATGGCCTGACATGTGATCAGGAGCTAAGTGGCCTTTACCTCCCCTGGTCTTATTTTAATGTAGAAGTTGCTTCTCTTGTAAGAAATCTTGAGAATCTTTGGCCAGGCGAAACGGTTGATCCTCAGTCTGTCTCTGTAAATCAGCAGACCATTGGCGCAGACCCCTAGCATGATTTCGATCCCTTCCGAATCCTGCGAACAAACAACACAAGAAATTATTCAAGAGCCAAATAGCCATTGTTTATTTCTGAAATTCAAAGAGAAATTCAGAGAGCTGCAAACTTTAGCATGATGGAGGTCCACCCCATACATGGACAGCTTCTTTGCGTTCTCCAAGAAGTTCATTTCAGCCTCTGCGGGCGTCATCCCCCTTAATGAAAACACAGAAATATGTAACAGCATCAACATATTTCATAAAGTAATGAAACCCTGAGTCATGCAGTCTGTGGGTGGAATAATCTGACTGAATATGCTTGATGTATTCACTTGTAAGTTTCCAATTTTGAGAGTGAGACAGTCTACTGACTAAGAAAGTGCTTTCATGCAAACTGAAAGCATCTGGAGGCAGACAATATGGTAATGTCACGGCATCAATCAAAGGCCATGTGGGTGATTACATGTTTCAGAGCAAGAGAAAACCCCATCAGCATATCACCCCAGATAAAAAAATCTCATTAATCTGTCCCGCCATTACTTGTAGGTTCGGTGGAGGTCCATCACCCTCTCCTCCAGCTCCCGGGTCTGGTTGGGGGCAAAGCGGAAGTCGCCAACGTAGTCGGAGCCGTGGTCGTCCAGGTCATAGTCACCCAGCTCAGCCTGGATGGCGTAGGAGCCCAGGAGGGCGTGGGTGACGAACGAGCATGGCAGCCGGCCTGACAGGATGTCATCCCTCAGCTGCAGACACAGGTAGTATCTGCGAGACGAGACGAGAAACGTGAGGGGGAGAGCAGAGGGAGGGGCCTCGGTTTGGCTGTCAGAACAGCCTGAAGCAGGCAGGCAGCAACAGGTAGTCAGCTTGCTTAATCCCAGCTTGTTACAGGCATTCCAGGGATAATCCATGGAAAAGGAAGTGGGGGTCTAGAAGCTTTGAAATCAGAGAAAATATGCCAAGGGAATTGCTGCAGTACCTTTATATAAACATACACACAAACACGTGCACACACACACACTAGCATCTTTACAGATGTCTGTGAGCAATTCCTTCTTTGACAAACACTTACTGCACAAGCTCAAGTGTTACAACTAGTAATGTGGGGGAAGGGTGAACTGGTGTGTGTGCCTACTATTTGACATATAGTGAGGCCCAACACAATACCGCGAGGAGACATGTGCCTTATGGGGACAAATGCCCAGAGTCCAATGAGAAGAAGTGATGTTTTTGGGTTAAGTTTAGGACTAAGGTGTGATTTGAGTTTAAATTGATCAAATCAATCTGCATTGTTGCACATTTCAGCAACAAGGCAGTTCAATGTACTTTATGTCATAAAAACATCACATTCACCAGTATGTTGGTCAATGTGTCATGATTTGTGGTGGTGAGGTGAACGCAGTGGACCCAGGTTATGATGAGAAAATGATGATTTAATTATAAATAAGCACAATAATCCAGGCAGCACAGGCGAGCAGAAGGTAAGTAGTTCAACAGCAACTGGTTACAATCACAACGACAATAAACTAGACTAGACAACACAGTAGCAAGCGCATCTGTTGGGTTTAAATACAGAGCAAGAATCAGGGGAAACAAGGAACAGGTGTAACTAATCGACAGGTAGACAGGACTACACAGAGACTCCACGAACACAGAAACCTAAATAAACACACAGAAAAACTCAAATCCTCACACAATGTTCCATTTATTATGGTTCGACAGCTCATTTTAACCAGATGGGTTTTTATTCTTGATTTAAAGGAATTCTGTGTTTAGGTCAGGGTTAGGGTCAGGCATGTACTGGTAACGGTTAGGTTCATGAAAGAGGTTCAATTAATAAATGAAAAATGAATGGAAGTCAGTACAAATTTCTCAGTTTCTATAGAAGTAAAATTATAACAATAAGACAAAAAACTTCAGGTCACATCAGTGTCACAAAAAGACTAAAAGAAAAAAATAATCATCTCCTCTTCACATTTATTTAGTTCATTTTGAGCTCAATAACAAAAAGTGCAATAAAAAATTTGATAAAAAGAAAAAAATAATTACAAGGACATGCATGTGTATGTGTGTACATACTGGATAGAGAGAATTATTATAGCCACTACCACCAACTAAAGGAGGTCATTTAGCTTCTCTTTTTTTATTTGAAATGTGCTTTGCTAGTCAGTTTAAGCGATAGTTGAGAATAGACTTGTAATGGCTAGAGGCATAAATGCAATAACTAAAATCAATGGAAGTAAATACAGATCCTCAGTGGGATGGAAGAATGCGGATGTGTGTGTTTAGTACCTGGTAATGTCCTCTGTGAGCTGGGACGGGTCAGGGGGGTAGAACTTCACTGCAAAGGCAAATTGCCATGGAGAGTCTGTTGGACGAGAAACTGGAAAATGTATTATGGGTCTCTTGTTCTTCATTTTCTGTCACATATTTATTATGATCAAACTATTCTTAACATCTAAAGACAAAAACTTGTGTAAATACAAAACGAATGGTAGCTTATTAAGGGAAGATAACTATCCAAACCAACCCAGCAACTCTTTGAAAAAAGCAACTTTTGTTTCCAAAGAAGTTGCTGGCAACATTTGTGATTCCTGACTACAAATATTTTTCAACCACTCTTCTTACAAAAACTGTATATAGGAGGTATTCATGGCATCTATTTCACATGTCAAAAGCAACCTGGGCCATCACATGACCACAGTGTTTACTGGTATCATGTTCATTTTCTTAAATGCTTTGTTCATTTGAACATCATGTAGAGCTAACTTAATCTGCCAGGTGCGAGGATAACTTTGGTTGGAGCTTCAAATGCAACAAAGGAGCAAAAACACAGGAAACAAAATACAATAAAAACAAACAAGCAGAAGAGGTGTTTCTTCTCAGTGCAGTTATTTCCAGTCCATTTCACTTAAGTTGCATTAATTTGGTCAACAAGAAAAAGTTTTTTAGTAAACTAATGTTCTCTGAAAAGTCACTCACTGCGCATCTGCTTCTTGATCTCTTTGGAGGGATCCAACCAGTTCTGTAAGACAGAAGGCAATGTTTACAGGGCAGATTGGAACCACGGCTCTCACACACACACGCATGCACGCACACACATGGTGTCATATTTTCTTCTAATTGCTAACACTGCTGCTAATGAAAGCCTCTCCATACGGTGGAAGGTAACGGAGCCCTGCAGCCCGCCGAGCCGTTCAGACACGCAGGGATCAGACTCTCCTATCTGATCCCGTTATGTCCTGTTGCTCAGCTAACCATGTCTTTAGCCGGGAACTGGTTTCGTTTAGGCAGCAGCAGCGTTCCGGTGCTCCACGCAGCTGATGCAGAGCAGTTTGTGATGGCAACTGGAAGTCAAGCTGCTCAGTGGCAGTGAACAGGAATGAAGGAATTTCCCAACAAGTATCCTCAAAAACACCGATACCCTCAATATTTCATCACGTTAACTCACACTGGCTGATCTGAAGGAACTTATTCATAATAGTTGACTTACATTAAAATAATGTGCACTGTCGAACAATAGTAGTAAATGCGTCACATTTTGTCATGTTAATTCCAACACACTGAAATAAAATACATAAATTTGAACATAATTGTGAGACAGAATATCTTTTAAGCAAAAATCTGAAAAGTGTGGCATGTCTTTGCATTTGACTGCAGTCTCAAGTCTTTTGCTGCCTCTCAGGTTTTCTTCCATCTGACCAGTTTCTCGACTCACACTGTACCAAATAATCCCCAGAGTATGATGCTGCCTCCACCATGTCTCATACGAGGGACTTGGGGCTGGTGAGTACAAGTAGCAGTAGTTGTCTGCCACATTTAAATTTACATATTTATCTTTTAATTTCTGAAGCAGTTAAATGACAATATGTCACTTGCCTTTAATTTCGATGTTATGCACAACTTTGAGTTTTAAAAACCAAAAACATTTCATAAAGTTGTAACACAGTGGCCAAGAAAAGATTTTTCCAAGGCGCTGTTCTGGACATAATGCCTATATTCAGTTTCTATTGATTGAATCCACACATTTAACGGTTTTATTGACCAGCATTTGGATGAAATGATTTTTATTTTAAAGCTGTTGAACTTAGCAGGGCCAGGTCATTTACTGTGACATAAGCTTTGAGAAGGCAGCACTGTGAGCCGAAAACATTTTTTTTCTGTTTGACTCTTGTGTGTTTGTGTGTCTGAATTAAATCTACAAGCAAGAAAGAAAAAAAAAACTCTGGCACCTTTGAGTTCTTAATGTTTGAAGAAGGTGTTAAAACCTGAAACAGCCAGAGTTGAGACCTGAACTCTTGGACTTTTTCTCTGAGGCTACAGCTAAACTGGGTTCTCAAACTTGACTGATTACAGAACTATGTCGCCATTGTGGCAGGATGACTTACATCAGCTACATTTTCTATTTTGCAGAGGTCTAGAGCTAGAGCAGCTAATTAGCTTGAGCTTATTAAGCTTATCGCGTTAATGTCGACAGGCCCAAGTTTTTTGTTTTATATGTTGAGAAATCTGTAAAAAAAAAAGTAAAGTTCTGAAATTTTGCTTCTATGTGGATTTTTTTCTATTCTCATCCAGTAATGGAAAATAATTTAATAAAATTCTCACTACAGATTTCTCAACACTGTATTAAAATGCTGTAATCTTCGCGGTGTGCTTGATGTACTTTGTTTGTGCTGCGTTTGTAATACTGTCTGGTCACATTATTTTCTGTGTGGGCGTACGTGTGTGTATTTGTGTGTGCTGTTGCGGGGCTACATAGTTCAGTATGAGCTCGGAGGCAGACTGTCGTCTCTCCTCTTTATGTGTGTAATTTGTATTTAAAGTTGTGATTACATGATAGTACAAGGCAGACGAGCGAAACAGAAAAGCGGTCCCTGAAAAGTAACTGCAGTGAAGCATCTCACCATCTTCAGGCATCTTCATTGCCTGAAGAGCTTGTTACACTATGGAAGTTGATTTATTTAACCTAATTAAATGGAAGGTTCTTTAATTTATTAACAAAGAAAACTTGCAAACAAATAAAAAGAAACAGCTTTGTTTACTTACTTAAACTACACATATCAATATCCTGGGCTTTCTTATAACTTCACAAATTTATTCAACTTGAACTTTTTGAATTGGCAAATCTAAAGCAGAATTATAAAAGACATTTTTGGTGAATGTCAATTGTTTACTTCTATTTAGTTATCCCAAATGTGGAAAATAAAGTCAGTCAAACTTTTTAGTGGTACCATCCAACATTAGCACCCAATAGAAATATGACAACAATTTGGAGGTTTCTAAAATTTCTTTAAAGTAAACAGCAATGACAGAATTTGTTTTAAAGTGTATATATGTGTATGTATATGTCTTCTTTGGACTTGAAGCTAACTTCAAACTTCAGGTTAAAAAAGTCCAGATTGGCACTGCGCTGGATTTGACTAGGAAGTTGGAATCCAGAGCTGTGAATTAATAATTAGCTTAATGCAGAGACTTCTTTTTTTACTTTTTTGGCTCAGGTAGCCTTTGTTTAAGAGAGGTTAGAAAGTGCGTAACAAGAGAGGGGCAAAGGTCATCAGGCCGGGACTTTAACCTGTGCCGAGGACTAAAGCTTCTATTCACGGTTGGTGCTTTACCCCTCAGCCACCAGACCACCCCCAACTTAAGACTTCTTTTATAATTTCATCATCAGAATTTTCAGCCACTGTATACGTCCTCATCTACTGGTGCAGAATGATGACGCATCGACTCACATCAATGACATAAAAATTGAATAAAATGTGACATGACCACACAGACTTCAATCACTGTGAAAACTATTAGATATGTGTGTGATTTAGTACCCATATGGAAGTGACACACCTCAGTTTTTTTGTTTTTTTTTTCTGGTGAAAAGATCAGAATTGGGCCTTTGAGACTGATGTGAAAAATTAAGATATATGCCAGATATGGGTTATAGAAAAAATAAATAAAAAATCAGATTCAGGTCCCAGTCTTTGTATTTTGTCTTTGTATTTCCAACAAGGAATTCAAAAAATCTTACTTCTGATTGTTTTTAGTGCAACAAGAGTTATGTACTACAGTAAAATAATAAAAAAAAATGCTTTCAACCTATTGACAGAACCTCCCTTTCAAGGATTCTGAGCCATCCCTCCAAGTTTACTTGCTTTCTCCAAGATGAGATTACTTTTGCTGTGAACTGGCAGTATAAATGAAACTGAAATGGTACTGCAGTGCGCTTTAATTTCCTTGTTCTTTTGATTCTCACACTCACGTTTTGCTGCATGCAACAAAGTTCCGAGGCGCCCCTGGCGCAGAAAGCCAACAGTAATCTGTGGAACGCCAAGCGCTGCAGAGCAGCTGCATCTTAACGCTGACAGACCTCATGGCAGACGGTTCCACATCAGTCTGAGAGAAAGAAGCACGTTGATCCTCTAACATCCAGACCTGAGGCCACAATGAAGTTCACTTCCAAACTCATTTACAGTCGCAGTCACTAATAAAGAGCTGCTGGCACTTATCTTCTCCTTGAACCAACTGGCTGAGGGTGAAGACAATCACTTAGCAAGGTGCTCTTCATCAATTTGTTTTTCTCTCTGAAAAAGCTTGGGAATCTTTAATTACTGACCAGTAAGCACTTTTACTGTAAGTTTGGGACATGATGCAGTCATCGGGAACAAATGTTCTCCTGAAGAGCGAAGCTTAAATTCTCATTCCTCCAACAGAGCTGGAGAAAGGCCATCTAAAATGACATTTTAATTCGCCGGCTTGTTTGGTCTCCTGATCAGGAGGGGTCCGCAGGCGGGAGGCAGCAGCTGCACTCCGATAAGTCCCTTTGATGACGCTGTCGTTTCCACGAAATCTACAGCAATACCTGCATAAGAAGGAGGTAGAAATATTCCGTTGATCTTTTAAACACCTAAATTACGTCTAAGATTACGATCGGACAGTCAAGGTCCAGCCAGTCAGCTGACGCCGCCTGCGCAGGCTAATTAGGGAAACCTTTAGGACGTGCTGTAAGTGTTGAAAGCGACCGGGTCTTGTCGTTTTTCCAAACTTCAAAAGCTGGAATGTTTCAGTTTCCTGCCGTGTGATCTCAGGCCTGCCCAAAGGGACGCTCCCGCTGATCAGAACCAACATCAAACCAGGAGCTGACAGCCAGATTCCACCAGAGCACCGTTAAAGACACGATTACGCCACAATATGGCTGATATCTACATGTGTAAAGACAACAAGGATCACAAGCCCACCCGGAGGAAATGTTCAAATTATTAGTGAGAATGACTGAAGCTTGATATATGAAAGCATAAATTTATAAAACTTCACCAAAGGGAAAAATAAAATTAAAAAGTGTGTTTAATGTCAAAGAATATAAAAGGAAACGGGTAAAGGAAAACATTACCATGAAGCCAAAGATGTTAGTTCATGAAGATAATATCCTGATAATAATGATTAGCCATAAAAGCGACTTAATGTTAATGTGCTACAATAATGCGCTAGGAGGATTTTAAAAGAAATCCTAGTTTTTTTTTTTTTAAAGGATGACGATGATGTAAATTCTATCATTATAAAAATGTATGCAACAATAAACAAATGATGGTAAGATCCTCACAACGTGATCAACGTGATCATCCTTCACATAGGCCTAGATGAGACGGCTGAAAAACGAATCACCACATCATAGTTTCACTGCCGGTATTGATAATTATTGATTAGTTTTTGTATTAAATATCTGAAATACTGCCAAACTGTTTTAATCACAGTCTTCACTCTTAAGCGAAACCTGAAGCTGTTATTCAACTGGTTGTTGCTAGGTAACCAAAGAATGAGTGAGTTAGTTGATGCCACCAATCTTGCTGAGCCAGCTGAGTGAGTTTGAGTAGCTAAAGCCTTTCCTCTGCCTACATCTCCCAGAATGCCATGCGGTGGTGGACCAGAGTTCAGTGAATATTCTAGATATTGAATATTCACATGTATTATCTGTTGATGTTGATCATGCATCTATTCCGATATATACTATCGATTTTTCTGTCCTGCCCTAGCTTCACAGTATAAAAACTATTAAACATATCATCCAATTGCTTTATATACAAACACACACAAAAAAGCATGTGATCATGCTGCTCCTGCTAAAATAATATATTATTGTCATAGATTTTGGAGTGAATCAGCTTCCAATTATCACCTAAAGCCTCTCCTTCTACACCGACAACTACACCCAACTGATGAGACAAGCTAATCAAATATATCGGTACAATTAGGCAGTGTCATTCAAAGCACTATTGGTTAAGACGTTATGATTTTAAAAATACTAAAAAACTAGCAGCAGTCACTTGCGAAAAAAGATTAGATGGTTAAATCTGCAAACATGCTGTTGTGTCCCAACAAATAATATGGAGTTATTTCAAACCACTAAAATTAGTCAGAACTGAGGATCCTTCTGGCTAGCCATTAGCCTTCCAGAATGTTAGCCTTTAGCCTTCAGGAAAGTTAGCCTTTATCCTTCCAGAACATTAGCCCTTAGCCTTCCAGAATGTTAGCATTTAGCCTTCAGGAATGTAAGCCTTAAGCCTTCCACAATGTTAGCATTTAGCCTTCCAGAATGTTAGCATTTAGCCTTCCAGAATGTTAGCATTTAGCCTTCCAGAACATTAGCCCTTAGCCTTCCAGAACATTAGCATTTAGCCTTCAGGAATGTTAGCCTTTAGCCTTCAGGAATGTTAGCCTTTAGCCTTCAGGAATGTTAGCCTTTAGCCTTCCACAATGTTAGCCTTTAGCCTTCCAGAATGTTAGCATTTAGCCTTCCAGAATGTTAGCATTTAGCCTTCCAGAACATTAGCCCTTAGCCTTCCAGAACATTAGCATCTAGCCTTCAGGAATGTTAGCCTTTAGCCTTCCAGAATGTTAGCATTTAGCCTTCAGGAATGTTAGCCTTTAGCCTTCCACAATGTTAGCCTTTAGCCTTCCACAATGTTAGCATTTAGCCTTTCAGAACGTTGTCCTTCCAGAATGTGAACCCTTAGCCTTTCAGAACTTTAGCCGTTAGCCTTCCAGAACGTCAATAAATTCAAATCATCACTTCAAGAAAGGCCTGTGTCAGGAAGACTTTTTCAACATGCACATGTTTCTTATAAAACAACAGGCAAAACAGAATAGAGTGTAACTGTTCTGAAACATCACATTAACTAATTACTTACCAGTCTGTAATCCCATGGCTATATAATAGAGACTTCTAGAACTCACAGAGGTCATTTTGACCCAACTTGTCTCATCAGCTCTTAAAAGTTCTCCCATTTCCTTCATTAGCCGCAGACCATTGAGGTTTGATTCATCCTATTAAAGGATTTCTTCCTCCAGAGCAGCACTCCCTCTCATGAAATACTTCTATTACTAGATTTAATAGACACAGAACTATTGGAAAGAGAAGATGAAGCATTTCTTTAGATCATTCAAATGGTTTTTTTGTTCAGGCCCAGACCGATCTATGAAATATCCACTTTTTATTCATCTTTGATGGACGGTGCACCCAAGAGAGCCGACCAATGCAGAGGCGAGACGAATACAAATCGTTCACTGAGGAACACGTCTGCGCCCCGACGCATCCACGTCAGTTTGTTCTGGCGCCGAATCCACTGACCTTCTGGCTTTCTGTGTCAGCAAAGGTCAGGCCAAAGTAGTCCTTCTCCAGCAAGTTGAGGTGCTCACACACCATGTCCATCAGAGTCTGTCCTTTGGAGTGCTTCTGCAGACACAAACACACAGACACAAAAAGGTTGAGAGAAAAAAGAGGAAGGCTTCCTGTGGTCCTGAGGATAGCTCTGGTTAGCCTCTTACTTGTGTTGGTTTTCTTGTAAAATTGTGAGTTTATAAAGTTCCTGTTTTATGGTCTGTTTTTAGTTCACTTCCTGTTTCTTTTGTTCTTTTAAGTTAATTTTGATTCCTGTTAGGATTTAACACGTGTTTTTTTTTTATTCACTAGGTTTCCTTATGTAACTTTGTGTTTATAAAGGTTACTGGGACCGGTTTTCTACTCCAGTTATCTTTCATTGTCTTGTTTAAACTGTTTTTTTTATCTTTCTGATGAGTCCAGACTTGGGGACTTACTAGTTAAAAGATAATGCTGTTTCATTTACATTTTGACCTTGTTCTGGTAATATTATGATTTTATTCTCTACTACAACTTTATTCTCAATATTTTATTACTTTATTCTGATGACATAATATCTTTATTCTCATTTTCTTACGACTCTACTCTAGTAATTTTAAAATTTCCATCAGATTTGTAGCTGCATCACCTGCTGTTTTCCGTGTGCTTCATAGTTATACAGTGTTTTGTGTCAATCACATAAAATTACACAATACAAAGGAGTTTGTACATTCCACCTCAGCTCTTCAGCTCCCCACGCTGCATTTCATTTCAAATATTTAATATATGCTCTACAGAAAAAAGGGTGAATTTTTGAATAGTAAAACAAGAATAAGCAGAGGTCCATTGTACATCCTGCCAAGGCTGCTGTAAAGAAGATTTGGAAATGGAGGAATTTCAGATTTTTTTCGCCTTTCAAATTCAAATGACTTTTCTGGTTTTCATCTTCACCTTATAGTTTTTGGCTCTGCATATCCAACAGGAGCATAAGGAGATGAGCCTCTCTGGAACCAAGACTTTCAGACATTTCAGACACATACATTAGTATTCTACATAATACATGAGAATAACAATGTACTGATGGCTCTATTTCCACTGTTCTATTTAAATAAACATAAAACTAAGTTATTACAAAATTAACCTTTAGACAATTTTATTTTATCACAATTATTGAACTCAACCGTTTAAGAGGCTAATGTCCAGTAAAAAGCCAAGCTGAAAGTGACATGATCCTCTTGAGTTTATGCTTTTGAACTGTGATGGAGCTTTTCTGCAAACACAGAATAATGTTTGCTTTAAGTGGTTTAATGAGATACAAACAGTCATAACACGTCATTCTTCCATCGCCAGCTGCTTTTTATAAACATCTTGACTGTTGACGTTCAGGTGGGTCTGGAAAATCCAGCTGTGCAAGATGGAATTCCAACTTCAGTGAGAGAGTTTTGTTTAAGTTTTCTGACTTGGAGCTCTTGCAGCTGGGAATTCCAACATCAATGTTTTTATTGAGATACAAACAAATAAAATACAGTTATTCCAGTGATTAACAGAACATGCACAGAAACAAAAAGATATGTGCAAGAGAAGAACAACATCCAGTGTAGTCTTTAAGGCATTCGTGGTGTTTTTGTTGATACCGTAGAAAATAATAATAATAAAGCATTACAAAATAAAGGCATAAAAATACTAAATTCCTCAATTGCATTATTCATCATAACAAGAATAAAAACACAACTTCTTATAATAAAAAAAGTATTAACAATATTAGCAATGAAAATTTGACACAGTTTGGCCCCAAGGAGGACCTTAAAGGAGCAAAGGGCACAAAGGTACAGCGCAAACAAATTCCCAGTCCAGAAGCAATTCAACATCTGATAAGCAACTGACATGTTAACATCGACACAAAAAATTATGCCAATTAGAAAATGTTTAAACCAGGGGTGGAAATTAGCAGCCACCACTGGCCAAATGCAGGTAAACGTCTGAAGTGGCGTGTAAATTGGAGCAACGCACCCGCCACCATGGCAGGTTGACAATTTGAACAGAAAAACAAAAACTACATTCAGTTTGAACTTTTTTCAACAGGGCTACCTAGCAGGAAATCAGAAAAATACTTGAATAACTCAGGAATCATAATGACCCGCAGAATTAATATTGAACACGCTTTGAGATGTTTTCACTGTTAAGAATAATTGTAAATTTCAGTAGAAAACAAAATAAGTAAGGGAAAACAAATAGAACAGTTAGAAAACAGAAATTGATCACATTTTAAAAAGTTTTGAGAATGACTAGAGACACATCTTAACTAAATACTATCTGTGGAGTTTGTAGTTAAAAGGTGTAAATGTTCAACACAGGAAATGAATGCAAGAGTGTTGGGGTTGTGTAGTTAAAGTTTGCTGTTAGAGATTAAAACACTACACCTCTGTTAAGGTGGCCATGCTTTATGATAAATTATTCTGTACATATGCATGGTAAACTTATTGTCAGTGAATTGGTTTTCATAGAGTTAAGAATAAATTATATATTTTATAACATTTGCTTGTACTTGTGGGTTTGTAATATAAAAAAAAAAGACAAAAAGAACTGTGGCTGGTGAAATGTGTGAGTGGCCAGGAAAAAATGTTCTCTATACATTGTGGCTGGAAATTAAAATGTAATATTTTAAATTTCCACCCCTGGTTTAAAGTGGCATAGCCCCTATTTTTAAGTAGGGGTTAGGATGCTAACCATTATAATAATGGCAGCATTAAAGGAAATGTGCAATAATCTAAATATGAGTACATTTTGAGTTTTCCTGTGTTTATATAAGCTTCAAACCTGTGTTTTTACAGATGCAGGCAATCCTAAAATATCATATTTGTGAGATGTGAACACATTTCATATTCAAACTGGAGGTGAAGATGCATATTTCTGCCCTCACTGAAACCACAACAACAAGCATTTGGTTCAGGTTTAACTACTGACAGGATTGCATCCATGTGCATAAAGAAGGAAAAAAGCCCTCACATTTACGAATGCACTCATCGGCTCCCGTTAAATATAGAACAAAGACGGCCGAGTTAATGTTTACACCTAACCACACACTGTTATCCTCTCACACATGCTTCCTTTTCTTGTGGCTCCTTTTGTGCACTGACAGTAAAATTGGGCTAGTAGTTGCCAGGGAAACAGATGCAGTGTTATTCCTTTTGTTTCTTAATATCCCAAGGGTGTGACGAAAAAGTGCCTGAACTTTGTTGTTAGCGCTCGAGCGGCATTTGGAGAATGGATAGAATATTGCACTGACAAAAATAAAGAGAGAGAAATAAAAAGTGCCGTTGCTGTATTGTTCTCACGCTGATGTGACACATGAGGAGCAGCTAGCACTGAGCGGAGCCTGAAATAGCCCAGTGGAATGCATCAGCCCAGCCTGGTCTGACCACACATGCGGGGTGGGTGTGGCGCCTCCGCTGCTGGCCGGGGGCCGACGGGGAGCTCCACCAGGCATCCATGACTGAAAACTTAATTAACCCAGGAATACTGCAACTCCTCTAGAGAAACACAGAGAGAGCGAGCAAAGCGGCAGACCGAGGCTGAGGCACGATGCCGCCTGTCCACACTCAGGTTCAAGCCTGTCGCTAAACTGGAATGCTTCCATGCGATTCCATGAAAAGTATTCACACTCCCAGTATTTCAAGGGTCAATTCAAGCATGCTGGTGAGTTTTACTCACCTGCAGCCTGATGTCTTTTGTTTTTACAAAATTACTCCTGTTCAAAGTAAACAAGTACCCCAGTTAACCCAACTTTTCCTGAATTATCCAGTGGTGGGATTTTTTAAATTTAGTTAATTTCACAGTCTGTAATTAATTAATTGCAATTAATTATGTTTTAATCAAAAACTATATTGATAATATAAATATTTTCAATACAAAAACTCGTTGCTCCTAAATTATAGAATAAATAGATATGTTAGCTCAACAATAAAGATATCTATGTTTGTAATCTGTTATTTAGGTTCTTCTACCATCAGGTTGAAGAACCTGGTGGTTATTCTATTCTATCAGTTTTCCAGAGTTTCAGCAGCTTCTCATCATTCATGGAGCTTCTATAGAAATGTGGACTGTAGATGCTGATGTTAGCACTGGGGAAGTTTGTGCTGCTGTTACATGTTTAGCATTAAGATGCTATTTTAGGCTTCAATAGCCTCACTGACAGGCTAACTCCTTTAGCACAACTTGAACACAAGAGTCTTCCCACCGTCCTATCAGCTCGGTTTTTGAAGCAGAAAGAGAAGCGGATTGACATCCATCGCTATATATATATATCTATATCTATATATCTATATCTATATATATATATATATCTATATCTATATATATATATAGGTATATATATATATATATATATATATATATATATATATATATATATATATATATATTAGATATAGATATATATATATATATATATATATATATATATATATATATATATATATATATATAATATATATTATATATATATCATATATATATATATAGGTATATATATATATATATATATATATATAGATATATATATATATATATATATATTATATATATAATATATATAGATATATATATATAGATATATATATATATATATATATATATATATAGATATAGATATATATATATATGGTGTAGCAATACCAAGTGATTGCAACATCAGGAAAAAGGAGCACGAGAAACTGGAGAAATACCAGGGCCTCAGGGAGGAACTGGAGAGGGCCTGGAAGGTGAAGACCACAGTGGTGCCTGTGGTCATCGGGGCCCTCGGGGCAGTAACCCCCAAACTGGAGCAGTGGCTACAACAGATCCCAGGAACAACATCAGACATCTCAGTCCAGAAATGTGCAGTCCTTGGCACAGCCAAGATACTGCGCAGAACCCTCAAGCTCCCAGGCCTCTGGTAGAGGACCCGAGCTCAGAGGATAAGAACCACCTGCGGTGGGTGAGAAGGGAATTTTTTATATATATATAAATACATATATAATATATAAATATATACACATGTTGAGTTGAGGGCCTGAATTGGTTTCTGAATGTTTTCAGGGTGCTGAAAAAGATGGCAGCCGTCCTGATAGTCGTACCTCACAGGTCGCCCTGCCCCCAACATCACAGCACACATTCAAACCTCCATGCACTTGTGCAAAAAGTATCCCCAGGAGTGTGCTCGTGCTATAATAACATTGCTCTTCTATTTTCTCCTTGGCTGCACCTGGCTCGCAATCATGTAACCACTATGGATTTTTTAGTACCCAGTTAGCGGTCAGTGCAAGCGGCTTTGAACAGAGGAGGAGGCAAAAAAAAAAAGGCCCCTTTAAAGACAACATTTTTTAGGCAGTTCTTCTGCCAAACAAAACCTAAAATGACAGCAAAACGCTGATTGTTGAATGAATGCAGATATAATTAGCTCCATTCAGCAAACCAGAATGAAACCAAACTTTCGTCAGGTAATCTTATCAACTAATCCACGGATTGTGGTTAGTAAAGTTGCACAGTAAAAAATGAACAGTGATAATTTGGGTTGTTTCCATTTTTAAAGTCATATTTTCACCATGTTCTTCTTTTAGAAATATCATAGATTCAAACTAATTATTTAAGGAGCAAACTAAGTATTTAGTTTACAAAGTAAAGCAAGCTAAATATTTAACTCTATGCTAAATATTTATTATGGACCTTAATATGTAGCTAGCAAGCTAAATGTCTAGTCTAAAAATTTAATTCCAAGCTATTTTAGTTAGCAAACTGAATATTTAACTTCAAATAAAATAGTTTTAATTTAACAGCCCCCTGATTTAGTTCTGCACCATTCAGTTCTCGTGTATAGAGGCTGTCTAACTGACCAAATGATTGTCTCCTGAATTCTGCCAAGATTCTGTGAAAGGGAACAGAAAACACTCAGCCTGCACAGAAACAGCAGGAAGAACCACTGTCTAGTTCCTTCCACAGCTCTATAATGGGATATTCATTTCTCCCACCGCTATCCTGCAAAGTTATTTCCAAAGACAGATAAACCTGTTCAAGGAGAGCTGTTGTTACCACGGGTCAGAAAAAAAAATCCACAGTGGATCTTTCTCCATGAACTCCCTCACATCTTTATCTTTCATCCTCTCTAATGTGTGCTCCTAGTTCCTTTTATTGTGAGCGCGAATTGTCCAGTTTCACAAAACTCGACGAACAACAACACACATTCGCCTGGAGAGGAAGACCTGGCCGCCGCAGAAACACGTGTGTTATGGTAAAGTGGAACAATGTTGTCAGCTTCCAGCAGCACCATACAACTCTCAAATCCCAACAAAGGGAGGCACAAACAATAGGGATGAGAAAATGCAAAGCCTAATTCAACAAAATGGGCAAATGCTAATAGTTTTCCATTGTGCATACCTCGAGTTCTCCCTCATACTCTGAGGAATCCAGCAATGCCACCTTGAAGGTGGAGGTTTTAAGGCGCTTTGAACCTTTCTGAGGAGATTTCAGGGTCTTGTTTGGGGAGGTCTTCTCAGATGTGTCCTCGGCCTCTCTGTGTTCATCCTGGTGCTTGGAGTTCTGTTCCTGTGAAACATAAAAAGTGGGATCAAACATGGTAAAAGATCAAAAATTAAAAGTGGAAATGCACAAACCCAAAAATGAGATATTTTTCTGAATGCACAGCACGCAAGTTGAAATTATGAAAATAAATTAGCTTAATGGAAACCAATTTTGAAAAAACACATATTTCAATAGAAAGTTTTGGCACTAGGATGAGAAGGTTAAATAGATTTCTTTCATAGAACTGCAACAGAATCACTTTTTTTCACATCACACAAGTCACATGATCAACAGCTGGATATTACTACTGGAGAAAACCACAGGAAGTGGTTGGAGGAGGATGTTTTGTTTTTTAGTGTCCAGATGGCTCTGCCAGAACTTTCACAGCATCACAGTTCATAAAAAGTTGTGAGTGTAAAATACACAACTGTCATACATTAGAATGACACACAAGTTTTCCTAGAATGCCGCATAGGTAGCCGCTCCCATGTAGGCGAGGTTATCGCTCCAATCCCTGAATAAAACACTGACATCTTATTCAACGTACATTATGAGCGCCAGCATCATGGCTGAAATATGAACATCTCTCATGTAGCTGTTTACATCCATTATTGCCCTCATTTTTAAGCACTCATCTCATGAACAAGATTATTCATGTGTGATTTTAATTTTATGTCTTATTTGATGGAAACACCACAATTTCAAAATTGTAAATTTTTAACAGCATCCAATCCAGATTTGTGCACATTTGTAATGGAAACACAGCTGCAGTCACCAGGGTGAGAGACCCAGGCTAACCTGATAACCTGCTTTATATTAGAGGCTCCAGGTTGGACCAGGGTTTATATAATGGGAATGGTATGAGGGGATGAGTGACAGGTGTCCTAATTAGCTGATGGGCTGCAGATGCAGGGAACGAAAGCAAGTAAGGGAAGTGCAGAGAGGACAGAACACCACCATAAACCCAAACCATAAAAAATCTAAACATCTCCAACATATAAATTCATGACAGGATTTTCATCAGTTCTATACTGAGAAATAGAAAAAGTAATGTCACTAAATCTACAGAGTATAAACAGTGTAGTCCCGTCTAATAAAAACTGCCTTAAAGAAAAACATTGATTATGTTTTTAAACAGAAAAAAATGTTGGAATTGAAATAAATTGAATCATCTTTCCTGTACCTTTTGTTTTCAGCTCACTCTCACAACAAATGAAAATGGGCGGAGTCAAACAATTCAGAAACAGACACAGATTTCAGAGTAAAAGTCAGCTTCTTAAACCTTTCGTTAAACAATTCCATGCAGTTTGTTTGTACACAATCAATTCTAAAGAAATTTACTGAAACAAAGTTTTCTGTCTAAGGAGAACCAGTCGATTGGATTTAGTCATTGACTTGCACTGACAGTGGAGAAGAAAACTTCATCTTTAACAAGAAGAAAGCTCCAGGAGAAGCAGAGCATGACTCAGTACCAGCTATCTTTTGTTGCCATTTACACAAATCCACACTGCTGGCGCACAGTTATAATGAATGGATGAAAAATGGCAAAAGAAAATGTACGGTTAGATATTTCAACATTTTAACCTTTGAGAAATGAATAGTCTTGAGATTCTAGCTAAAAACTCTTCATTCATCTAAATGTTGAGGGAATCAGTCCAAGCCCTCCCACAGCAGGGAGCAAACACCGCATTCCAGACGACTGCCAGTGTCTGTACTTTGAATATGCCGTTGAAAGAGTTGTGACTGGGCTGATTGCTGAAGGGGTTTTAAAGGTATTCAGATTCATGCAAGGATTTAGATGGGTACAAAAACACAGCAGGAAGCTCTAAATTCCTTCTCAACTGAGTCTGGAACAGGAAGAAAACATCATCTCCATCAACACGTGGTTATTACAGCTGAATATGAAGTCACTGAGATGCTAACTGCTATGTTTTTCTATATAGATGTTGGCAAAATAAATAAATCAAATAAGCAACAGCAAACCTTTAGAAATGCAGGTTGCAGTATGTATTGTTCTAATTGGTTTTAAATGATGCCAATAAAACAACAAGAAATTGCACAAAGACAAAGTGAACTCAGTGGTGTTAATTTAGTAGAGGGACAAAGTTGTGAAGTTAAAGCATTAAATTGAATAATCAAAGTCAATTTCATGAAGAGGAATCTGCAAATCTGCCTTAGAAGAAAGGGATCAATTCGCTTTCCTTCCTACTGTCAATGTTGTGAAATATAATAAAAATGAAAGTAAAAGGATACATGGCTTCTAAAAGACAACAACTTCTTATTCCCAATCTCTTCCATTTTAAGATTTATTTAAACCTTAGGTTCAAGTTTAAATAAAGTTTAAATGTAAACTATATGATGTTACTAGGAAGCTTCATAATAATGTCAAAAAACACAATTTTGCAATTGTGGTATTTTCATTAAATATAAAATGCAATGAAAAAGTTAGTTCACATGATAAGTCATAAAAAAGTGTTGTAACATTATCTTTTAACCACTTCCTGTTGTCTTCTTTGTGGTTTCTGCCTGTAGTAACATCTGGTTGTTGATCATGTGACTCAGGTCATGCAAAAAATGACATGAATTTCTATTGCAGTTTTCTGAAAGCAGCAAAACGTTTAATGGAAAAATGCCATTTTTGTTGTTGTTTTTTATTGATATATTTCCATTAAGCAAATTTATTTTTGCAATGCAAAATTGTGCAAATTAAATATTGAGACTCTAAGGCCACTTTGTATTGCCTCACTGACCTGCTTGGCCATCTTGGTGTCAGAAGATGAGTCCTGCATGTTTGCTGCTGCCCCCCGCTGTCAGGGAGGCCTCCTAGATCCTTGCCGTCCTTTCCGATTCAGGGGCCGTCTCAGTTTCCTCAGAGAAGTAGCACCTACCTGGGAAAAAGTCAGAAAAACAGCAAACCTAAGCTTGAACATTTCAAATACAACAATTTCATAAACCACTTTAGAAACCTGCAATCTGTTTGCGAGAAAAACAGATTGTTCTTAATTTTCCCCCTAAAAGAGGTAGGATGTTGTCTTTTCTGCATTTTTAACGTATTTTGATATTGTCAGCTGGATGTTGTTACAGCTCTGAAATGATTTTACGTGCATGTTTTTTTTTTCTTTCATGCATTTCCATGCCGGTTAAAATTTGTCATAATGGCTAAATTGTGTCTTATGGGTTAGGGTAAGGGTTAGACCAATAAAACATTATTTGTACATCAGGAGCATATAGACTCAATGTCTAGAAAACATCCACCTGCAGCCACAGCATTGCAATGTCATCTGATGCTCAGCAGGAAGATTTATTGGAACATGAACCTGGTTTAAAAACAAACTGCAAAGTGTTTTTTGAATCAATAATCTAAAGTATCAGTTTTGTTTACTAACCATGTTTCATAAAACTGCAACGTTGCAGATGTGTGTAACTTCTGGTTAAACCTTCTCTGATCAAATTGAGCCATCAAATAAAAAGCAATTATCCAAAACAAATATTTCTTTTGAGGAATTGCGCTTTCCAGTATAACTTTCAAAGTTTTTGATGAACTCAACAACTTCATCAGAAAGGAAGCACCTGCTCACCAAGGGCATGTGCTTTCACATAAAATTTCTCCCAGCGATATTAAAGAGATTTTTAGCAGTCTTGGCAGATTCTACAACTCACAATGAAACTGAACAACAACAAAAAGTATATTGTTGTAATGCCAACATTTTTCAAGGCAGTATTGGGTGCCTTCCAGCCACAGAGTGCCATTTTACAGCCCAAAAAAGAAATTATGTTACCTTTATTTGTTATAAAATGCTATTTATGTCAAACATGACTAAAGAAAAATTTGACTTCATAATTTAACGCCTTGAAATTGGGTGTCTATTTCTTTTTTTTAAAATGATAATAATAATAAAAACTTGTGCTCTTTATGAAACTCCACCTTCAGGAAATCGATTTTACATAATATTGCTCCTTTAACTAGATCCATATAGTGTTCAGTGTTGAGTGCGTTCTTTAAGTTGCACCTGTTTGTGTGTTTGCGTGCATGCATGCGTGCGTGTGCGTGTAGGGGTGTGTGTGCGTGTGTGTGTGTGTGTGTGTGTGTGTGTGTGTGTGTGTGTGTGTGTGTGTGTGGGGGTGTGTGTGTGTGTGTGTGGGGGGGGGGGCGGGGGGGGGGGTGTGTGTGTGTGTGTGTGTGTGTGCCATAAGTGAATATTCCTGAAAATCAGCAGGAATCTCCAATTGCTGGAGGAAGATGGAAGCCAAACCACAAGCACAGAGTGAAGCCAGTTTTGTCAGTTTGAAGAGGTGTGTGTTCAGGGCACGTCACAACAAAGACCTTAGAGAAGAGTGAGTAACAATGCAGTGTATATAGACTACAAGCACTGAAACTATTTTGGAAAACTAAAAGCACATAATTTATGTAAAAACTCATAAATCTACTTCCTGTAGTTTAAAGGGAAATGTTTAGCTTCCAGGAATTAATTATTATGAACATAAAAGCAGTGCTAAACGATGATTTTAGATAAATAAGTATATAAAAAAGTGCCAGAAGAGTCTGTTTCTCTCATGAAAATCCAACAGCAAAGTAACACAAACTCCGACTGTTGTCTAAATTTTAAGCAAACTTATAAATTTTTGCAAAAAAAGAAAAAAACAGATGAAAATGCTAATTAGTCATGTTTTCATTTATTAATTTAAAGTTGTGGATATAAAGTTCATTTTCTAGTCTTATACGTAGGAAAAGCTAATAAATAATGCAGGTTTCTGAGGCTGAGATTTTTTTCCTGCCTGCAAATAACAACATTCTAATCTGTTCATGCTAACATGCTGATAAATCTTTCTCCTGCACTAAGTCTGGTTGTGGAGTACCACAGGGTTATGTGTTTGGATAACTTTCTTTTTTCCCTCTATACGTTGGCATTTGGTACTAATTAGGCAGCATAACTTCCATTGGTCTATATGTCCAAGCCTTTAGGTTAGTGCATACAGAAACATATACACAGATTTTGTTTTCATTGGTCTGTTTTGTCAATATCAGTGTTGCTCCACACCATGTGCTGCAGTTCCAACACTGGTGTCCTAATTTTTTTTTGATTGTGCTGAAATTTAATTCAATAAAAATAAATTGTATTTTTCCTCTTCTTTTCTTTACTTTGTTTTTATAATTGGATAAAATAACAATAAATTATTATTTGACTCTAGACAGAATAAGAGCCTCATTTAAGCAAACAAATGAAACTATAGGATGCATTAGTATTTGTATGAAAAGATTTATGCTCTCTATGTTATGAGTTATGAAGTGAACTGAAACAGAAGAAAGCTGCAGTGTTTATGTGAGCATCTATTCATCTCAAGCAAACATACAAATATTGACTTTTTGCTGTTTATATGCATGATTAAAACAAGACAAAAAAATAAAATCTATATTACTGCAGATGTAATCTGTTTTTGTCATTATGGGTTGTGCGTAGGAACATAAAAATTGAATTATTAATCATTTTAATCAATAAATCTGGACACCTCATCAAAGCCACAGTGAGAGAAAGATTTTATTTGAAGACTTTGGAGTGAAATATTTCATTTTTTTTTTTTTTCACTGTTTTACATCACGTGAAATTATTTCAGAGCCACTCGGTAGATTTCTCATCTGAGGGTTAAAATGCTTGTGACATTGGACAACCTTTTTTGGCAGCTGTTTATTAAAATACTGATGTGTGAGAACCATGTTGTCACAAAATATCTCCAAGGAGATCTGTGCAAAAACAGCTTGCAGAAAAACTGTGACCTTGAATGACACTGAGAACCACATAGAGAAAAGTTTCAAAAGTGGCAACATTCAGACAACCAAAGTAAAAAAAGTTTTAAAATTGCATCCACTAGGGAGATTAGAGGCAAATTATTGCTTTTGCTGTTTTAAAAAGATCACATTGTACATCATTATTTGAAATGTTTGGGTTGTTAACATTGATACTGCAGTATGTAGCTTTCATAAAAAGTATTTTGTTTATGTATTTAATAAAACTGACATGCTATCGTGATAGTTTGGTGACAATCTGAAAAAACTGAGCTCCTCCATTTTCTTCCAGAGCAACAAGAAACAACTAATCAGAGCCAGGAGGCAGTAGTCAGCGCTGTCAATCACAATCTTGTGTTGCGCTGCACATTCCCGCGCCCCTACCATCATCAAAGCCTCCCCACCATTGAGCTCTGCTATTGCTACAGCTTTCCTCTGTCAGCAAGTACATGATGTTGATTGACAGCGATAAGCCCCTCCTCCTGGCACTATTTGGTTGGTTTTGGTTGGGAGTGGTGCATTTCTTCAGATTGAAATAGTAGCTCAAGGAGGAGATCGATCTTTTCACAGCATACCAAACAAATATGTATAAGCAATATTCTTAATACAAGTTACATACTGCAGTGAGAGGATCTCCCGGATGGCCTCTCAGCTCTACAGGCGTTAAATCACATCACTTTAATCCACCTGGGAGCTGCAGGCGATGACCATGGTATTATCACAACTTGTTCTGAAGACAGACATCTACCTCCAGACTCCCGGCCCAGAGAAGGTCCTGGCATATCGCACATGTTTAAAGGAGTGTGAACGTCCTCTCTCTCTGTGTCTCCTTCAGCTCCCCCACTGTGCAAATTGTCCCATTACACAAAAATCACAGTGATCTGTCAGAAATGAATTCCCGTCCTTTGGGATAAAAGGGAAGCGGGGTCCGCTTGGGGACTCATTTCCCACTTGCTGTCTAATCAATTTCCTGTCACCGGCTGAACTGTGGATATGATTTCAGACTAAACTCTCTGATTGGAGAGAAGAGACTCTGAAGAGTGATGCATTCTCAAGGAGGGGGAAAAAAAATCAAGCGATCAGCGTCGCCGCCTCCTCCTCTGATTGCACTCTGAAACAAATAATTCTAGGCTAATAAGTATGCACCCACTTTCCTGAGTGGGTGCGCTACAAGTGCTTTTTTTTCAGAGAGGTAGAAGGTTATGTCTCTGTTCATTCAGAGCAAAAATCCTGTATTCTGTATGTAACCCTCTTTCTCACAGTAAAAGACTCACAGCATCACCGTTTAGCTGAAGCTAATCCCTGATATGGAGAGAGCAAAGTAGTTCTGCCATCTCAAAACTGCCTTTTTTATAAACCTTTAAAACAATATCACTACGGATTAGTCACATCCAGAATAAAGGAATACCAATGTTTAAGAAAAGTCAATTTTTATGACTTAAGTGTTCCATCATACCACTTTAAAATGCCTATTAATAATAGGCAACAAAAAAAGTTGCTCTGACTCAAAAGTGGAGAACAGTGTCTCAGCAATATCAGTCACTCCAGCACTTTTCCTGTGTTTTTTGTTTTCTATCAGACCAAACCAGCTGTTTTGAGTGGTGATGTGGAAACTGCTTTTATACCTGATAATCTGGTCAATTCAGTTTGACTGGGGATCAAAATTGTTATATTCTTTTGCATTTTCAGCTGGTGTGTTCACTTTCACACTGCACTGTCAAACCAACCAAACCATTTGAAAAGCCTGTTCCCCTCCTCACCTGCGGTGGCGCTGCACCAGGAACCACTGAAGGAAATCACACAGAAATATCTGAAGAATAAACTGACTGCAACTTCTTTCTTTACAAAACATAAACAAAAATAAAGTAGCTCAGACTTTAGAAGTATAATATTTCTCTTTTGTCTTTGGCTAAAGAAATCGACTCATTTCTCCCAACAGCACTAGAGTCAGATTTGTTTTAGTTGTATTTACCCAGAATGCCCTGCGCTATAGTCCGGTTCCTGTTTTTGCAGCAGTCTCTGGTCTCATATGCATTTGAGCTGGGTCAGAGTTCACTTCACCTGAACCGTGACCTATGTTTGTAGGCAGGTTAGAGTTCACCTTAT